TTGAGCATTTACATGCTTGTAGGTGCATACACATGTTTAAGGGTACATAAGTCTATCTGTCAAGTTTTCCTGGGTGTTAAAGCAACAAAATCTGCCTCTACTATTAGAAGAAAGGAGTTTACTAGAGGGATGCAGATGATCTCACAGAACTGAAGGGAAGGCTTTAACATAGGTTGGAACAGGCAAGTGGGAAGATCCTCTAGGCTTCACTGTGGTACCAGAGATGCTCTAAGAAGGGAAACAGTCTAAGCACTTGTTCTCTCCTTCGGTTGTTCTGATTAATAGACAATGATGTAGGACAGGGCCCAGGGTTCAGTTGGTTTGCCTTTGTTCACGCACCTAGCCCCTTGGCTAAAGGAGAACGCCTCCTCTAGTGAGGAGGAACCTGTATCACAATCCTCTGGGATGATGGGAAATTTTAGCACTGTATGATGATTTGGTGAGTTTGTGCCAAAACAAAACACAAGACCAAACAAATCTTCACTCAATTAGACAAGAAAAATGGGCAAATCACAAAAATGGGGGAAAAAGAATAAAATAAAATAGAAAAGATTTCTTGGATCAAAAATCAAAATGATGCTACCAAGTGACTCTGGGATGGAGTATAAATGTCCCCACTCTCCTTTTGGGTATTAACCAGGTACAATCATATACCTGGACTTAGTATATACTGAGGTCCCAGAACTCCTAAGGGAACCAACCACAAGACCACCAGAGAAGCTGGACGTGGGAAAGAAGACCATGAGCTCGCACACCAAAACTCCAAAATACACCAGAAAGCTCAATGCGAAGAAAGATAGCCAACAAAATCAGAAAAATAATTCATTCCAGAAAGTCCTGTAAAGTACAGGATAAAATGAAATAGGCTGAGAATGTTTAAAGAGATAAATGGAAGTCACACTTCTACTAAATAAAAGAACTTCAAATTATTCAATAAAAATGGAAAGGAATGAAATAAAATCAGACATAAAGAATTAGAAATCTTGGAAATGAAAAATATAGTTTAATATTTAAAATTCAGTAAAACGTGTAAGCTAGATACAGTGGAAGTAAATAAGTGAATTGGAAGACAACACTGAGAAAATCAACTATCTCTCTCTCTCTCTCTCTCTCTCTCTCTCACACACACACACACACACACACACACACTTTCCACTTACATGTCTGACAGCCATCTCAGGTGTTTTTAGCCAAAGAGCCCTACCTCCAAATCACATCTCTAGCAGAAGAATCAAAACAGGTCAGAGTCACTGTGGCTCAAGTGTGGTACGATTTATGTCATTAAATGAGCTCATATCAGGCTAAAGCTTAGTGAGTTTCCTTCTGTTGCTCTCTTGGACAACTGCTTTCCAATCCTAAAACATACATTATATATCAACTAAATAATAAGCACGTTGAAGACAGAAGCTACTTTATTCTCCTAGCCAAGCCCTCAGTCTAACTAGAAACTAAAAAATAAGGTTCATACTTTAAATAATACATACTTCTCTCATTATGGAAACAACAGCTCCTTGTATAGACTTTTTTTTTCTTTTTTCAAATAAAGTTCTTACTACTCTTTGATTAAAACAATATTTTTCCGGGGTGCCTGGGTGGCTCAGTTAGTTAAGCGTCTGACTTTGGCTCAAGTCATGATTGCACAGCTCATGGGTTTCAAGCCATGTGTTGGGCTCTGTGCTGACAGCTTGAAGCCTGCGGCCTGGAGCCTGGTTCAGATTCTGTGTCTCCCTCTCTCGCTGCCACACCCACCTCCCCCGCTCATGGCTCTCTCTCAGAAATAAACATTAAAAACAAAATTAAAAAAACAAAAAAAAATTTTTCCATGGCCAACTCTATTCTATTGTTATAGTCTTGAGGGAGGTTCAACCCAAGAAGGTACAAGATAAATCCTCATTAGATAGAATTTTACACACTAAATTTAAGAGTAGTAATTAATGAAATAATAACATTGCTCAATACTAGTAAAGCCTAGTTTAAAAAAAATAGATCTTTAGCAATCTAATCAAGGATAACTCACCCCTTCACACCAAAGAAAATATTAAGAAAAAGTGATTGCTTCTTGGAAGTACACATATATAGATACATACATACAATATACATATACATATGTAGGTTTATATACATATACATATGATACCCAGTATTTAGTATATGTGTATATATTATACATTATACATTATAATATATACACACTAAATACAACACATAGCTGGATATAAAAGTAATTTTTTTAATCTAGGAAAACTGGCTGGTTTCCTCCCAAAATATAAACTTAATAAAAAAAGTAAAGGGGGCACCTGAGCGGCTCAGTTAAGCATCTGACTCTTGGTTTTGGCTCAGGTCATGATCTCATGGTTCCTAGGATTTATCAGGCCTCTGGTCATGCTCTGCACTGAGAGCACAGAGCCTGCATGGGATTCTCTCTCCCCCTCTCTCTGCCCCTCCCCTGCTCATGTTCTCTCTCAAAATAAATATGATCAGGCTCTAACTAAAGAAGTAACTGTAAGGACAGGAAAAAAACACACAGAAATATGCACATAGTATTTTTATAGGAGCACTTATCAAACTGCCATTGAACAGACTATCCTAACATGATATAAACTGTTCCAAAAGACAGAAAAACCTGAAAAGCCATCCTAATTGACTTTATAAGGTTATCCTAATGGTCTCTAAAACTAGACAAAAATAGCAGAAGAAAATGAAGTCAATCTCATTAATGAATATAGGTGATAAATCCTAAACAAATCAGTCAATAACTGTCAAAAGAACATTAATAGGTGTTATACCAATTACTGAAAGGTAAGTCAACTTAGAAAATATATTAGCATCATTCACTCCATTAACAGATAAATTAAAAACTGTGATTGTTTACTAACTCCTCAAAAACTCACTGAATGAATTCAGCACCTATTCCTTGGGGGTGGGGTGGGGTTGGAGGGAAGGGATCTTTTAGCAAACCTAGAAGAAAAAGAAATTCCCTTCTTTTGATAAGGGCCATCTATGTAACTAGAAACTTCAGCGGCATTCATACTATTTCCCATGACAGACTGTGAAGAAACAAGGATGCCTACAATTGTCATTAGATACTGAAATAAGATGAGATAAAGAACAGGCTGTCATTAAAAAACAGAAAAACATATTTGATAATATGATCAATTAAAAATCCCAGTTAAATATAAACAAAATATTTTGACTAACTGAATTCAGATGAGATCAGTAAACAAAAATTAACTGATTAAAAAAATAGGAAAAAACCTAATTCTTAATTTTTTTAATGTAAGAATATGCTTTAAAAAGTTTACAACACCTATGTGAAAAACTAATTTTACTAGAGGATGTAAAAATTCTGAAAAAAAAAAAAAAACTGGAGACACACACTGTGCTCTGGATAGACTTCATATTTTTAAGACATTAAATCCTTCCCACACATTCATCTAGGAAATCAATCCAACACTGATCAAAATCCCAAGGGGACTTTTCTGACACTTGATAAAGCAATTTTATGCAATTAAAAGAACGTGTGGAAGATTTTTTTTTTTTAAATTGCGAAGGAACAAATGGGCAACTGACCTATCACAGACCATAATATTAAGTTCCATGATTTTTCTCTTCCTGGTAACTAGTGATTAGTGTAACACTCCCAGGTGTCACTTACTAAGACACAGATCACTGGGGGAGGCGGTTTTAGCAGAAGGAAGGAAGAAGAGTTTTTTAGAGGCACATGATGTGCGAGGTGCCCATTCAACCTCCAAGCAGAGGTGTGCACAGGCAGTTGGACGTGTGAATCTGAGCTTACAGAAGTCTGGGCTGCAGACAGACACTTGAAGCCATGCGGTGGAACACCTGAAGCCATGTGGTGGAACACTGGCTAGACTTTGAGTTTTATTCTGGTGACATTACACAGTTTGATTTTGCAAATTTGGTTTCAGAAGTTCACTTATCCCATCTGCATTTCTGTTTTCTGTGTGAGCAAACAGGTAGATGTAAGCTTGGACCAATTTTGTACAGGATTAGATAAATGAATCTCTGTACTTCTTTTATTATTCCTGTACTAATACTACTTTCCTCATTATTTTAAAATACATTTCTCTTATTTCCCTTTAAAATCAGTAAAAAACGAAAAAAATCCTCTCCCACTGTCAGGATGGCTTCTCCACTCTCCCTAAGCACATTACAAATACTACCCTGGCCTGAGTTTATAATGACTGTGCCCTAAAGTGGCTTCACAACCACCCTGATCCCTACCCCATTCTGCAAAGGCTCAAGAGTTTTGTTTCAACTTGTTACCTCTTTGTTTTCTAACACATACTTGTATGGTCTTAATCATATACTGTCTTGCATTTTCAACATTTCAAGTCTATTTCTCAAACTATACAAACCCACTGAGAGATATCTGAATAAATTTCCACTCATAAACACCAAAGTAATGCAATGTTCCCCACATGTTTACTTTGCTTCCTACCCCAAAAATACACAATCCAAACCTAAAATGCAAAGAAGTCAGCTGTAGCCAAATCTAAATAGACAGGACTCCATTGCCAACCTAGATAACGAAACCAGCAATAAGGTGAAAGACAGAATACGGTCCAGCTGTGAAGAGAAACAGCCAAGGCACAAAGGACAATGACACTCCACTAATGAGATAGCCACCCCACAGGTCACCCAAGTCCTATCCAAGGCTACGTACCCTGCACTACCAGACCACCAGCTGCATGATTTAGGTGTACTGCCCCAGGAAGGGGCAGTCAAGCCTGGGGGGAAACCTGTACCTCATCTTCCACTTAGTTCCATAATTGTCCTCACTTAGCATGAAATAGAAAATTCGTTTACAGCAACCCTCCCCTGACCCCAAGCAACTGGGGCAGAGAACTCCATGAGTATACGTGCAAACACACATGCACACACATGCACACGAGCACACGTACTGCAGACGACATAGGCAAGCATGTCATACAAAACTTTACGTATACTGTGAAACAATCTGAGTTAGGAAACTAGGATCGTTGCCACCGCCATTTATTTGTCTAGTTCATGACTAAGTATAGAACACTATGGTAGTGCTAGAAATGCAAAGAAGTCCCTGCCCTTAAGGGGCTTACAATCTTAAGGAAATAAAACAGGCACATAGAGGGACTGTAAGAAAGCACATGCTGACAAATGCTACAAGAATTCAGAAGGCAGCGTAGTTCAAGAACACGGGATCAGGGATCACAAAACCCAGTTCTAGTCCCAACCTGGCAAAAGTCAGTTAACTTCTCTGGGTTTATTAGCCCAGCGACAAAACGAAGCAGTGAGATCTAGAGGCTACACGCATTTGTTTGCATCATGATTCAATCAAAAGCTGAGCAAAGTTTTATGGAGGAGGCAGTACCTGAGCTGGACACTGAAGAAAGACAGAGAAGGCATTTCGGAGAAGGAAAGCGGTACTGAGGTAGGTCTAAGGAGTGGGGGGTGGGCGGGCCGGGAGGGGAGGAGACACAAGGAACAATGGCAGTGAGGTAATGAGCGGCTATGGTAGCCCTGAGGCACTACCAACACAGGAATGAACTGTATTCCTCACATTTACATCCAGTCAGTTACAGTACAGAGTTCCAGAGAGTAGAAAACACCAGAGAACAATGGCGGCATTTTATCAAACATTGCACTCAATTTCCAGAAAATATAAAACGATTTTCACATTATACCTCTACATTTAAAATTGACATCAACAAACTGTTCCCACTGTCAAAATGTAAACCAAAGTTTACATTCTTAGTAAACATAATTCTTTTCATTCAATAGGACATTTGATACAAATTATATTATCCTGATAACTCCAACATTTTTCTACTATGCTCCATGCACTGTGGAAATAAAAAAGACAAGGTCTCCACCCATGAAGAGTCCACAGCCTAGTAGGGGAGACAACCAACCATGCCTACCTAGATCCAGGTATGAACATGGCTATGGAGTAAAAGATGGACTCATCCCTCCTGAGCAAGTTTCAGCAAGGACTCCGAGAAGAGGCTGATAGCTCAAAGAGAAAGGAGTTTGGCAGGGTGCAAGTGTTTGTGGGGAGGAGAGTGTTTCCAGGCACAGGGCGCATGGCTACATACAGGCAATAGTGTAGGAGCATGGCGTGGTCAGGGGTACGAGGGTACAGTGTGGTCAGAGCCCTGTACAGGGCAACGGCTAGCGGTATGGAAGCCTAGACTTAGTCCTGTAAAAATGGGGGAGCTACTGCTTGCTAGGCTTTAATTTTCTACTAACCCTGGTTTGTAAGATCAGGAAGGGATGGAAAGAAAGTGAGCAGCAAGATTCTTTCCGTGTCGTAAGCAGTCCTTGTAAGCGCTTTGTAAATCACACTGCTCAGGAAACTACCCCCTCCCCCCCCCACCTCCTTCACCTCTCCTTTCCCTTTATGATCTGTGAGTCTTCAACACGGGGCTGCACTACCACGGAACTGGAAAGGCCGAGGCGAGGAGAGCAAGCGAACAGGACCAAAAACACACACCTATGGCTAATCAGGTTACCATAAGGTAATGGTACTATACACAGGTGTGCAGGTAAAATGAATTCTTTTTCAGGAGTTCTCTAAAACTGCCTAATTCACACCAAAGTGTTGGAAAATCTCATTCAGCTTGGGAAAAGTATATAGAACACTTGCAGAAGACTGCATTTCCTAAACTCTTTTCCATTAAATACCAGTGTTAACAGCACACCACCAAATATAGGATTTCAAAGCCTATCTTCACATGATTAAGACTGAACCAAAACTGCACTGTTTGGCTTAAAAAATAAGACGACACACCAAGTAATTCCAAGTCTTAGGTTCTCAGCTAGTACTTAAAATGTGTCAATGCATGACTAAATTGCCGAAGTGAAGAACATGCAGTAAAAGGTAGAGGCAAATAGAGCGTTACTTTAGGGCAGGATTCCAATTTCTAAATTCCAATGTCTCATAACAGTATTAGAGAATCAATGCTATAAAAGTAATACCTTCTTGAAATTCTGTTTTCAAAGGAAGAAAATAAATCTGTATATTTTATTTAACATTCATTCTTAAGTTACAGTTATGCCAAAACAATCAGCTTCTATGGAAAGAAATCTTCGTATAATCCTAAAAACACTCATATACATTTAGAAGGATCTTCTACATTCCTAAATAAATTACATGCCTGATATACATTAACCAATGAAAAATACCACCGTGAGAATTCAGGACATTTATTTTTCTGCATGGAGATTTAACTACCGTACAACACACACACACACACACACACACACACACACACACACACACACAACAAACCCACAGAGCAACGGTGTGTAATAGGTAGTGAGAGACACTGAAAATAAGCATATTTAAAATGCCTACAAGCAGGTTTTTTTTTTTTTAGGCAACAAAATATTTTCAGTCCTTGACACCTTCTCACACTCACCTAGCACCACAGATGCAAGGACTTACAGTAAACGTATACAATCTCATGCTTAAAACCTAAAGCATGCATGGAATAGAATTTATACATTATGATCTACTCTATTAAGTATGCAGTACATACTTCTAATATTTTATGCATTAAATTACCCTGCAACATTATGAAACTTTAACATTTATGCAAAACAACTTTTGAAAGACTTATGAAACAAGTTTTCAAGGATCACCTCCAGGCTGTTTACACAGGCATTGGTTTGGTTAAGTGGGAGAATGGCAGCAGCCTCAAGGTTCATACTGAATGCAAATGGTGTGTGTGCATGTCAATCCATGTAAAAAATACATATATACATAGATGGCACAAAGATTTGTGCAGTTGGAATCACCAGTGCAAATGCATGCATTTGAGGTACTTATTTTTTCCATGGTCAGGTATAATTATGCATAGTCATGTTCCTCAAGTGCTAAATATTTCAGACCTGATCAAATGAAAGCTGTAAGAACTGTAAATATATTTATATAGTTAATTTCCAAGCACTATGCCTTTAATGGACATTTGTTTAACATTACATATTTACATATTTAGTTTAAAATGTTTGCCAACCAATAAATTTTCTCACTGTAAAGAGACTGACTGGTAATTATACCTGGCCAAATGATTTAAATAGCATACTTGAAATTCTAGCAAGAATTGTAGTGAAATAGTAAAATACTTCATTATTGCTTCATTGGACTGAGAAACCTAGAAGGCAGAGATAAACAATGCTCGGTGATGAAAGGTGAATCCCCACAACAGTGGTGCGCACCCCCAAAGAGCCTTTGCCCAGTAAAAACTAAGCGCTCTCCACGTTATCAATGCCGTTGGCATCCACATGGATATCAGGCTCCCCACACAAAGATGAGGGGACAAAGCGGCTAACTGTGGGACACAAACAGCTCTTAAGCTCTGGCAATTCTTGCTTCAGGCGTTCCAACTGCTCCACTTGGAATATATTTGGCTGTTCAGGCATCCAATCATATATCCTGTGATGAAACAAACAATAAACACATAAAATAGTGTAATTTTATGGTTCACTTAAGACCTGCCTGACTTAATCTTTTCAGGAGAACCTGATTACAGAACGCCTGGAACATTTATAGTACAGGAGCACACCCTCCCCTAACTTTTTAAAAGATCTAAGTATAGGCTCTGTTTAAAAATACTTCTCCATCTTTCTAATAATGCAGAATAGCATTTCCTTTTGTGCCTGTGATGAAAAAGAACTGACTGTAAAGCAACTGAAACAGAAAATGAAATAAATCTGTAGTTTACTAGTGATGGATTCTTCAGGCATCGTCTCTCCAAGCGCATCCATCGGCAAGGCCTTATACGACGGGAAGCTAGCAAGAGGAGAGCTGGAACTCACGCCTAGTTGTGACTTGGAAGCACTGAAGATGTGCACTGAGAACTGTCCTGAAGTTGTGTGGCACAGGCACATGGGCTCACAGCTGAGAGCCCAGAAAAAGCCCATGTGACAAGGGCAGCACTGCACTGCCCATCAGCGGAGAGAGGACGGCCTTCGGCCAGGTGGCTCATGTGAGGTGCAATGACAGAGGTCACCGTGATATCAGAGTAGGAAAGAATTTCTAAGAAAATGAGAAGTGACCTCTGGGGAAAGACAGAAGACTGAACTGAAGCATCTAACTTTACTTTCCCTGTATGTCAATGTTAAAAAGAAAATAAAGGGATTAAAAAAGAATCCATGCATATGGGGAAAAACAAAAACAAAGAGATGCAGCAACACAATTTTGGAAGCTGGAAAACAGACGCATAAGTAATAACAAAGTATTTCAGTTAGCAGACGGGAAAAGGCCAAATCACAAGCCACAGTGGAAAGCATGAAAAGGCGGAGTTAAAAGCAGCACCGGTTTCCCCCCAGAACTAGGGGGAGGGGAGACTAGAACAGGGAGGATGAGGTGAAGGTCTGAGCAGCAGTAAGCATCTCCCTCCCACCTAACTTCCTGCCATGGAGGCTGCCCCACACCGCACTGAGGCTGATTTTAACAGAAAATGTTTTGGAATGGAGGACAAGATGACCAGGTAAGGGTTTGGGCATTTTACAAAAGCCGCCAGCACCAGGAGACAGTCCATCCATATGATACATGCAAGATGCAGAGACATGCCTTCCCTTCCCCAGCTGTCTTCCCTTACCTGATTCCCAAGAACCCTGGGAGCCAGAGCTGGACCCTCTAGGTAGTTTATACAGATTCTTCTGTGAGGAATCTGGTCAGTCAAAAAGCAAAGTTCTGAATCTACTGACATCAGAAGTATGACCAAACAGGCCACTCAGATCACGCCACAGTGAAATCCAAGTGAACAAGCCCCATGCACACACTCAGGACCTCCAACAAGCTTTTTAGATCCCAATCTTATCACAAGAAGCAGTCACAGATTTCTAAGCAACTTGAGGCAAGCCTCTAACACGTAAGAGAGTGAGCCTGAGAGAAGAAAATTTTAAACACACACACACACACACACACACACACAGTCCTTGATGCCTTCATAGAAATAGTTCATTGAGTCAAAACAAAATGTTATATATAGAGGAAAAAAGAGCATTCAGAGAAAAAACAATTCTTAGAAATTAAAGACACAAAAAGTTAAGAGAATGGGTGGATGGTAAGGTTGACAAAATCGTTTAAAGTGGAGCAAAAAGACAAAGATAGAAAATAGAAGAAAAATTAAGAATTAGAAGTCTGGTCCAAGAGAGTATAATATGTAAATGAAAGGATTTCTTTTATAAAGGGGGGGGGGAACCCGCAGAAAAATGGAAGACACAAAAATCAAAGAATAATTTACTAAATTTTTGGCATCTTCAAAGACATGCATCAACAGATCAAATGGGCTGCCATGTGCCCAGCACAAAGGATGAAACCAGACCCACAACAAGACCCATCTCTATGAAATTTTACCACACTGGTGACAAAAAGACTCTCCAAGCTTCCAGATGGGAAACAAAGAAACCACACATACAGGAACAAAAATCAATATGGTTTCACACTCCAGAACAGTAACACTGAAACTGCGAACTTGATGGAGAAATGCTTTTAAAATTCTGAGAGAAAATGTTTTCATTTTTTTTTTTAATTTCTGAGAGAGACAGAGAGAGAGAGACAACGTGAGCGGGGGAGGGTCAGAGAGAGAGGGAGACACAGAATCAGAAGCAGGCTCCAGGCTCTGAGCTAGCCATCAGCACTGAGCCCGATGCGGGGCTCGAACCCAAGAACTGTGAGATCGTGACCTGAGTTGAAGTAAGGCGCTTAACTGACTAAACCACCCAAGCGCCCTGAGAAAATTATTTCTAACATGAAAATTTATACCCAGCCACAATACTTCCAGGCATGCAAGACCAAACATTTACTTTTCATGTCTTCCTTTCTCAAGAAGATACTGAAGGATGTGTTCCATAAAAATGACCATAAAGCGAAAAAGATCTAGAACACAGGAAATGGGAGCTCAGACAAAGGAGAGTTCAGGGAGCAGTCCTCACTCAGAATGAGGAAGCAAAAGCAGAAGTTTACAAAAGCAAAACCTTGGCAACTACTTAAATGCTCTTAAGTAGAATAAATTGTGATAGAAACATAGCCATGAATATTACAGTCATGAAGATGAATAAATTATAGTTATATAGAACAGATTGATTTTAAGAACACTGTAAGTGGGGAAAAAAGTACAAATAACGTTTAAAGCCATGAGAAAAACTAAATGATATTATTTAGTAATAAAAATAAGAATTTAAAAATTTTAAAATGAGAATAATAATTTGATAAACAGTCATATCTGAGAGAGAAGATAAGGGAACTGAATGAGGGAGAGGCAAATGGCAGACTTCCAATCTAATGATAATATTCTTTAAAGTGTACATGTCTATTACTGAATTTATATTTTAATTTTTTAACCATTTGAGCAGATACAGTAATTATTTTAAAAGAATAGGAACACTGCCTAATTACTCTATGAGGCAAGTATTTTCCCCATACCAAAATGAGAAACAACCAGTTGAGAAAGGTAAAATTAAAGGTCATCTTATCACAAATGCAAAAATTCCAAGTATCAGCAAATCGAACACAGCTCTTTATATGCGATAATGTACCACAAAAACATGATTAAATGTAAAAAGCTATGGTGTATTAGTACCTTTGTAAAAGAAGAGACTGAGTCAGTTTCTGATCAACTAAAACACCTCCTCTCATCAATAATTCTCCCCAATATAAATCAAAGGCTCCCAATCACTAATCATTCAAAAACTTCTCTACAGTGTCTAAATTTGATGATTAAAAAAAAAAACCAAACATAAGCACATTATATACCAGAAAAAATAGCTTAAAAAATATTAGGGCACAGGAACTTAATTAAAAACAATGAAAATAGGCACAGAGGACTGCTAGTTATCATTGCAAACCTTGCAGACACACACAAAACACATATACATACATATATACGTAGTTCTCGGATTAAAATGTTAAAAAAAAGAAAAAAGTTCAAGGTAAACACCAACTCTAAGAGACTCTAGCAGGAGCCACATCCTGAGCTAGCTCCTCAGTGTCTTCCACACCTTCAGCATAGTCCTGCCCTGAGTAATGCTGCTGCTTGGCCTAAAACTCAAATCCTGTCAAAGCAAACTTAGCCACTCCCAAAAACCAACTCAATATTCTTCTTTAAAAGCATTCTCACTGAGGTGCCTGGGTGGTTCAGTCGGTTAAGCATCTGACTCTTGATTTCAGTTCAGGTCATGATCTCACAGTTAGTGAGTTCGAGCCCCAGCACAGAGCCTGTTTTGGATTTTCTCTCTCTTACAATAAGTAAATAAACTTAAAAACAACAACAACAACAGTATTCTTATTGACACCTGGCCAGGAAGCACTCACTTTCTTTGCAGCTTTTTATCACAAAGTATATTCCGTTCTCCATTACACGTCACAATTTGGCTCCAACCAAGTAAGGCCCTTCAGATGAAGGAAGTTATACATGGTAGGTCTCACAATACATTTTCTTGCCTGAAAATATTTGCAATAATTCCTTCCTTCTCCTCAAAGAAAGAAATATTCTTCAAAATTTTGCTAAAGCCAACATTTCTTTCAAATGGTTAATGTAAAAATTTTATCTTCCTTTAATTAGTTGGAAATGTCTATTATAAGTGATGTAAAAATTTTACCTTCTTTTAATTAGTTTGAAAGGTCTATTATAAGTGATACAACTATACAGGACAAACAGTAAGGTGAACTAAAGCCAAGGAAAGTATTTTTAATTAAAAAAAATTTTTTTAATGTTTGTTTTTGAGAGAGAGAGAGAGACAGAGCATCAACAGGGGAGGGCGAGAGAGCGAGGGAGACATAGAATCTGAAGCCAGTTCCAGGCTCTAAGGTGTGAGCACAGAGCCCAACACGGAGCTCAAACTCATGAACTGCGAGACCATGACCTGAGCTGAAGTCGGACACTTAACTGACTGAGCCACCCAGGTGCTGTGAAGGACAGTATTTTTTAAAGCAAGCCTGGTTAGAATTTCATCACTTACTCTTTGTATGATGTTGCTCAAGTATTAGCAAGCCTGCTAAACCCTCAGTGAACTAAACAACATGCCTTCTAACCCAAAATTTCTTTATATTAAGCAATCTTTTCATCTTTCAGATTGGTGGCTCTCAAACTTACACCACAAACACCTAGGGAACTTATAAAAAAAAGAAAGTTTGTTCAACAAATATTTGAACCCCTACTGTATCACACATCATTCTAATTTTTGGAGCTAGAGTAGTGAACAAAACAGGCAGAGAGCCCGTCCTCACAGAGTAGGTGTGCTGGGGTGGGGGATGGGGGAAAAGAGGTGGGAATCAGCTCACATGGGGCCTTGGAAGGACCTGTGATTTTACTCCAGGTGACACAGAAAACTGTGAGAGAGTTGTAGGCAGAAACAGGGTCTGGCATCCGTTAGAAGAGCCTCCTCTGGCTGCTGTGCTAAGACAAGACAGCAGGGAGGCGCGGGTAATGGCAGTGGCAAGTGAGCAGACACCTTCAATAATCCACCTGATGAGGCGTCTTTCTTAGCAGAGACTGGCAGTAGTAAGTGTGGTGAGTGAATACATTCAGGATAGATTTTGAAGACAGAATCAACAAGATTCTGTCTGACTGGTTTTAGGTATGTGTTTAAGTATAGTCACAAAAGATTCCAAGGACTTGGCTTGAGAAACCAGAAAGACAGAGTTGTCATTTATACTGAAATCAGGAAGTCTATAGAAAGAACAGGTGTTGATAGCTGGATATAAAAGTTTAAGCAGTCAGGGGAAAGGTCTGAAATATAATGGTTGGAGATAGAAGAACTGAAGAATAAAGGTATGAAAAGCCACAGAACTGGATGAAAGTTCTGAACCCCAAGTAAGTTGGTGCAGAGAAAGAAGCGTCTGAGGGAGAGAGCGCCCCTCCCCCCACCAAGACAATAGTGCATCTGGTATGGAGCCCAGTCATTTAACAAGTCCCAAGTGGCTGTGCTACACTGCAAAGTTTGAAAAACTCCAAATAAATGTTAAGATAAACCTCAGGCTGAACTACAGAATTTTAACTAAGTTTAATATTATTTTTAATTTTATAAGATAACTATTTTTGTTTCTAACAATCCATGAAAACTTTTCATGAAAAACAAATACCTATCATAAATTAGACCATTAACTCCAAACTCCTTCAATTTCTTTCTGTTTTCAGGATCGTTGGTATCATCACCCCAGCAGAATATGACTAGTCCCTTAGCTTTTGCCTCTTGAATATAGGATGGGTTTCTGAGCAGGTCTTCAGTATGTACATTTATCCCCTAAAAGAAGAAAAGTAAGTTACTCATGAAAAAGTAACTTATTAACTGCAAATACTAAATGGTCATATTCTACATCAGTGTTCTCAAGTAGAATGCACAGGGAAAAAAACTGTTAGAACTCTTTCTTATAATTACAATTTATTTATCAAAGAAGTTTATAGTCTAGCCATTTTAGATGATTCATAAAATCCACTCAGAAAACTAAACTACAAAAACTTACTTAACCTAGGCCTGGAAGAAAATATTTTAATGTTCATTCAACTGCTTTTCATTCTGAGATCTAATATCCTCCTTTTTAAGTAGAGCTATCTGCTTGCTACACATGGGTCAAAACTAACCAATTCGATGTGTAAAATAACACAAAAACTTATTCACTACTGCTCTAAGACATTTCTTAAAAAATTAAAATAAAAAAAATTCAAATATAAATTACCAGTAGGTTTTCAAATTGTGCAAAGCTCATTGCAATGGGGGTTGTCCGAGATCTGAGGTCCATGAGTTCAGGGTAAATATCTGATTTTCCTTGAGTCAAAAATAATATGGGGTATTTGTTCTGCTTTTGCCGAACCCTAAGACAGACAATTAAAAAGTACTTTTCATCAGGGAGATAATTCTAATATATTGTTTTAGAATTGTAGGAAACTGAATATATAAAGAAACTACAGCCCCACCAAAAGAGCATAATTCCATTACAGAGATAGAATCACCATTAACATGCAGTGCATCAATACACGAATAAATAAAAGAAAAAGAATACAATAAAAGAAAAATTTTAAATTGTCTATAAAGGAGCTAAACCATTTTCAGAAATAGGCAACAAGAAAGCCCTTGAGGGCTTACAATTCATTAAGGAGGACGTTACATGTCTAGAAAACGAAACACAGGGTGTGAGGTACTAGGACCCTGTGAGTGTGAACTTCACTGGAGTGGAGGGCACCCTGCAGGTAGTCCTGAAGAGGTGTGAGAATATACAGAACCTAACTGGCAGGACAAGTCATGGGGGGAGTCTGGGCAACTTCCCCACCTCCAACCAAAATCTCTGTTCCTAAATCCCAGCTACTGTCTAAGAGTCTAGGTGAAAAAAAAATTGAGTATTACTCACATTGTGCAAATATCTGCATCAAATGAAGAAAACACTATTCTCCTCTTCCCAGCATTTTCTAAGACAGTTTTTAAAATTATGTCCAAAAACAGATTCATGTCGAAGTACGTTGATAAGTTACCATCCCACATTCCATCCTACATGGAAGAAATAAACAGAAAAACAAAAGCCATTAAATACCCTAGGATCACAGTGCCAGAAAAAACATCTTGGTAACATCTAATCCAACTCTTATTCTACATGAGGAAAGCAAAGGCCTGAAAAGATTAAGTGACTTGCCCAAGACCACACAGCTACTCCGTGATGGTGCAGCTGTCATGTTTCACGTAGAAACCCTTATACGCAAAGTGATGATATCAAACTTTTGCTTTAATAAGTTTAACAAAATAAAAACTAAGACTCTGGAAATCTGAATTCTACTGACTTTAAAATATTTTTATATAATCTTCATGAACTATAAGACAAAAGGACTCTACTTCATTTGCTAACTCATTGTAACAGCCCAGGTAATTATGAATTACTAATTAAAAACCTCACTCTTTGGCTCTAAGGCAAGTAATAAACAAGTAAAAAAAAACAAAAAACAAGTAATAAAAATATTCTCTAAATATGGCTAAGATACCAAGATCCCTGTTGAAATTCAAATATCAGACATATTGTATATTAGTCATTAAAATAACCCTAAGAGCTCAGAAAACTAAAAATCACTTATTAAGAAAAATCACCATGTTAACCAGGACCAGCTTATCATAAACAGCTACTCAGAAGGCATGATTTGAGGGCAGTTATAGATTATTCTGGTCAAAACAAATTCTAGGATATTGCTCTGATTGCCCAATCACACCTGAATTAAGCTCTTCCAGTGCTCCCCCCCAATCCCAACAACCCTCTACCATGCATCTCAACCATTTATACAAATCTCCATCTGATATATTCAATAGTTAATTATTTTCCTCAACTAGACTATTCCAACAAGACAAGTTTTATTCTGTTTTGTTCACTACTTGAACCCATCACCAACAAAATGCCTCACGCATAGCATCTTTTCGATATATAATTGTTGAATAACGATAACAAAAAGACTAAATCTGGAAGTGATCTAAAACACACCTGCAGAAAATTTCTTTTCTTGGTTAACTATTACTAGCTACTATTGCCACTTAACAGAAAACTGCTTAGGAAATTATTGAAAATGTATGTTTAAAAGGAAAATAAGAAAATAAAAACTAATCAGTTATATAAAGTTCTAATTTTCATTCATTTTATAAGTATGTCCAGAAACCACCCATATTAATGTGTACATGAGACATATTTAAACTGAAATTTACACAATACATTCATCACTACTTTTAAGTACTCACATATAAGGATGAAGTATGCTTTATCAAAAACATCCAACAAGTACTGTGCTTGTTGGAAGAAGCCACAGTAAGATTTCAGCCTCACTTTTCCATTAAAACAAGGAGAGAGGAATAAATGCATTTAAAGAAATGGGGAGAAAGAGGAAGAATGTGTTACATCAGGGATTACTTACCCTTTGATGGCAGATCCATTTTATTTCTATGTTAAACCCTACATCTTCTGGCAAAGACTCTAAAACCTAGAGTTTTGTTTGTTGGAGGTGAATTTTGTTTTGTTTTTGGTGAGATGAATGGCAGAATAAGAGAAGAAAAAAAGGAAAACAGAATTATTACAAAAAGCAACCTATAGTAAAACGTATCAGTAAGGATAAAATGTTTTGTGCCTTCAGCATAAACCACTATCTTTTCTCATACCCCAAATTACAACGTGATTGATGATGATTAAGTTAATTAAGAGTCAAGAGATTAAGCAGCAAAAGCAGTGGTCTACAGTGACATTTGGAATGGTGGATGTACCACCACCACAAAGACACACCCTTAACCAGAGTCCTTTTGCCACCAGAGATCTTGCGTCTGCCCTAACCAGCTACATGACAATTACCTAAAACAGTTTGTAAGCAATTTCATGTGTGGCTGTTGGACTTTCTTCTCTGGTATCTTTAGCCATATTTTATCTAACGTACTTATCATGTTGTTGCTGAACAAATGAAAAATAAGGAAAATAATGTATACTTGTGTGAAGACTGCTAAACATGAAAGTTTCTTCTTTAAATTAGAATTGTATTTGGCGTTTTTCAGCTTTAAAATGTCCGTGATTAAATTGTAATAATGGTGACAAAGTGAGTGAATAAATGTATGTTTAACTTATCTGGCTAAGTAAGTGTTAAACCGTTAATATACAATTTTTTAATAATTGTTTTTAATCAAAAGTCTAGGAATCATGCAATTTCTCAGAACCAAATGATTTCAGAATTTTGAACTAGAAGAAATGATGTAACTTAGCTGGGCTTCATAAATATCTGAAAAATTATTCCAACCATGTTTTAAACACACTAGAACAATGTCCATTTTAGGAGCTCTATTGTAGCTTCCTTTCTGTAGGATGAATAATCATGATAAACTGAAATGACCTATTGTTGCCTAAGATAACTACTGTACCTGACATCACCAGGAAAAGACCATGGAGAAAAGCAGAAGTTAAGAAATGGAGCCAGTAGGAAATAAAGCAGACCCAGCATGTCCAAGGAGTGCTTGGCATCCATATAGGCTTGCTGATATTAAAGGGATTCCTTTATGAATTGTGTCAATTTTTTATATCCTCACGCTAGTATTTTTTCAGGTGAGTTCTCAAAAGTTGTGTCTTATTTTAAGTAACCAGGGTACTCATTTTCTTTGGTTGGACAATCTCATTTCTCTCCAAAAGCTAAGGAACAGATTTTTTTTCGCTCAAATTTTTACTTAATTAATCTCCACACCCAATCTCTACTGGGGCTAGAACTCACGACCCCGAGATCAAGACTTGCAGGCTACTGCAAGTGAGCCAGCCAGACGCTCCAGGAACAGTTTTAAACATTGTAAAAATACTTCTCCCACCATCACATGTCCCTCTCACCCCTTTTTCTGTGCCCTCTATTTCTTGTTTATATACAGAAATGTGTGAATTTCCTGTTCTTACCAAATTAACCCATTGAGGTGGGAGTTTTTATTCATTTGAGCAGGTGAGTTATTCTTAAAAAAAAAAAAGGAGCATAGGTACACAAAAATGTATCTTCTCTAAAAAGAGTAACAAGTTTTTATAAATGTCTTTGACACAGCCTTTTTAGTGCCCAAAATAAATTATTCAAGTTATAACAGAATCAATGAGATAAGCTTTGTGCTAGTTTTCCGAAGTTAACTTACCATCTTAAGAGAAGGAAATGGCTGATTTTCAGAAAAAGAATTTTCTTCCTCAACCACAGATTCTGAAATTTTAAATTATAAAAGCTCAGTAGATAAAATGCCATTTTATCACTAAGATCTTTTCCTAAAGTCTTAGGACAAAGAAAGACATGTAGAGGTAATTAGGAGATCCTTTTATATGCAGTATTTTTTGAAGGCTCTTATATTTATTATGTTGAATCATTAAAACCTCCATTTAAAAATAAGCAAACTTTATGAAGATTAGTTTGCAACATTTCACAGAAATGCCAAGTTTGAGGGCCCAACAGTGATTATTTTCTTATAAACACTGTAATACTACTTTTTACAAAGTAGTCCTCAGCATTGATTAGTTATTTCTCGGTGGAATTAAAGAGCTGGGTCCTCTTGCTAAGGCTTCTATTTGAAATATCAAAATCAGCACAGAAGTTAGAAATTAAGAGACTCTAAAGCTACTATTGTGCTTTTGTTACCACTACCATTTAATCCAAAATTTTATCTCAAAACATTAAGAGTTTTTTTCCAAGAGAGAACTTAATGTCAAACTTTTCCTTTCTTTAAAAAAAGTATTACAAAGACTAAAGTCATATAAAATTTTCCAGCTAAATATTAAATAATAAAACATTAAATAAATAAAATTCATTTTATTATTAACAGTCATGAAATAGCTACAAAGACTAGAAAGTCCTATCTATGCTCTGGAGATAAGCTTTAGTCTTTAGCACTTCGCGATTTCTTCATAAAGGCATTCCAACTATCCTGTTATCACAATTGCAGGTAAACATCTAACGAGCACCTACTACACACAGAGCATTTGTAAGTGTCTCGAGGAATACAAAAACATTTTTCTACCCTAGAGAAGTTTACATCCTAGTTGAAGAGACAGGACATGTACAGAATAAAAGGTTTATAAAAGGATCCACTAAATCTCAAATGAATGACACAAACTATGAAGTTCTATGAGAGTATAAAGTAAAGTGGAGTTACAAAGAGATTCCATAGGCAGGACAAGCTGTGGGGAAACTGAGGCACAGACTGGTGAAAGTAAAGTAATTACTCAAGGTTACAGCAGGTCAATGTTAGAACTGGATTCAAACTCCTGGCTCTGGAGCCAGATTCTCTACTTGATTTACCCTCTTTTTTGTCATGGTTACAAATGTTTGGAAAAAGAAAAAGAATGTTTGGAAAGAATGATAGGTACACAATTATAAAGAACTTTGATGATCAAGCTAAGAAAATTGCTAACAGTAAAAACATGTAATTACTATACACACGACATAAACGCATTTGAAAATTAATATATGTAAAGACCTCATATCTATAAAACTATTTAGATAGCCCAGTATTATATAGATTAAAATGACCAACGGTAGTTAAAAAGAATAAGGAAATACCACATATATATACATGTGTGTGTGTGTGTGATTACAAAATGAAAATAGTATCAGTACATACCTTTCAGATCTTTAGATTTTAGTGCAGTCACATGAGCGAGCTAGAAAACACATACACACACAATGCAATCGAAAAAAAAAGTCTTAGTCTATGAAGGTATGGTTAACAGAACTGTAACTTGAAAATCTAGCAAGTTAAAGAAAACTGTAAAATGTAGAAACATTATTCAGTAAGAATAATCACTAACAACTGTATATATTTCAAATGTGCATACATACACATAAGATCATGATCAAATATCCAAGTAGGGGAGAAGAATATAAAAATTCTTAAAGGGTTTATACTGTATCAACCATTTATTTAGGTATTTAATGAGAACAGAAAGAGTCATCATATAAAATTACATGGCATAAAAAGTACACAAAGATCTTAGCAAGAGAAGTCTAAAAATCAAGGACAGCATAAAAAGCCAACTGTAAAACAGTGACAGTTATATAAAGAAGGGCTAATGCAGACCAGAGGCAACCTGAGACTATGGATGAGAAAGAAGGCTGGCTCTTATGGTCTACCTACAAAGACTTAGAGCCAAGCGCCTTCACATATGCAGAAACAGTGGGGTCCATGGAAACTGCTAGAGAAGACAGATGGATTAGCACAAACCCACTTTTCCACAGAACAGAAAACCAAAGCATACTCTCTGTTCAGGCTGACCGTATAGTCAATCCCAAGAACAAAGAGAACATTACCATTAACAAATAAGTATAAATCATCCTAAAACTAAAAGATCATTTACATTTTATGCTATCGTGACTACCTTTAACAACTGGAGTTGGTCAAATGTTAATTCCTTTACTGGAATTTCAAATAATTCAACTGGATCAGCATCAAATTTCTAAAAAGAAAATAAAGAGAAAAATAAGCCTTTAATTATTACTGAATGTTTACCCTAGCTGGGCGGAACACCCCAACTTAGTCAATGATGAGAACTGTTCAGTGGCCACAGTGAGCCCATGCAGGGGAGCGCCTCTTTTCTGCCACCACCTTCTAGCTCTTAAATTCTGGCTTTTGTTTTTGGCATGGGGGGAGTGCTTGGAAGAAAATAACAGCTAGGGAGTAGGATAGGGCCTTGAAGACACAGAGAACAAAGCCAGAAATCAGTTATTTTCCCCATTTCCTATCATGCTGTTCACATTTTATTTGACTTATATATCAATGCTACTTGACTAGGCAATCAACATGTACAAGTACTGTATAAGGATTAATTTCTGTCAGTACGTTCCTAAACTTTTCTCAATCTTTTAAACTTAAGTTTGGTTAAAAAAACACACAGAAATGAATAGTCACGGGAAACAAATGTCTGACTAGCTTTAAGGAGTCATACATAACGGGAACTCTAATCTATTATAAATGCTTTCCCCATAAGCAAATATTTTATATTTTAATACCACATCATGTGTCACATTATTTAGGCACCTCTATCTTAAGGAAATGAGTTAATGGGCCACCAATAAATCATCAATCCAACAAATATGCTAAATCCATTACATTTATATTCATTTATGTACATAACAGTGTGAACCCGTGTATGCATAAAGCTTTTCTAGGACATAAACTATTAAGAGTAAGGGAGTGTGACCAAGAAGAAAGGGGGAAAGGAAGACTTATTCTTCATTTCATAATCTTTTGCAGTTTTTTTTTAAAGTTTATTTATTTTGAGTGGGGGGGGAGAGAGAGAAAAAGAAAGAGAGAGAGAGAGAGAGAGAAAATACCAAGCAGGCTGTGCACTCAGCACAGAGGCCGAAGTGGAGCTTAAACTCACAAACCATGAGATCATAACCTGAACAAAAATCAAGAGCCGGACCCTTAACCGACTAAACCCAGGTGCCCCTTCTGCTGTTTTATAATGAACATAAATTTGTTTTATAAGGAAAATACCAGCTTAAAAGTTAAAACTAAAAACATATACAATACCATGTACAATACAATACTACTTTTATTCCCTAACTCATCCAGGTTCAACAGGTAAAAAACAGGATCAGTAATACTCTTCAATTAACTTTCTCAGATATTTAGAAATTACAGCTGGATTCATTAACCTCCATCTTGGTTTCTAAGATCTTTAGCACTCCATTCCTTCTTTTTCCCTTTTCCATTGATTTTGTTCCCCCAAGGCGAAGTAATCTGCTCCTTTTCTATTAAGTTGTACTTTACCTCTATCATCTAAACAGGTGCATATCCTCCCCTCCCTCTCCTAACAACATTTTACAGAAACAAAAGTGTGCCTTTCTATATATCATATTAATCCAAACCCTCTATAACTGATTCTAATCTATGAGCAGGCGGAGGCAGGTGCCCTGCCATATCCACAGGTACTCCCAACAGCGTGTCTGGGAAAGCGTAATGCCTGACAGCCAATTAGCCTGAACTTTCAATCATCTTTAACAGAAAATGATACTCAACAATTTTATAGAAAATGGCAAATAAACTCTTAGTTTAAGTCCTTAAGAAATCACTTAGTTAATTTCCATACTAAAGTTTAAGCACTATGTAATGGTCACAACTAGGTATGTACAATTATAATTTTAAAGAAACTATATGGATTTTCAAATTTCCTTCTGGACTCCCTCCATCATGCATTCTCTATTCTATCTCCAATCCAGTCCAGGTACCTTCAGCCACATTACCACTCTCCCTGCCTCTAGTTTGTCCTCTTAAATTCCCCTTACATCAGGCACTTACATCTGGAGGTTCAGTTCTGAACCTTCCTGGCTCCAAAGTCTGTCACATCTCCCTAGCTCCTAGGTCTACTACACCCCTTTCCTGAAGCCCTCCACTATCTGGCTCCAGAGCATTTTTTTCACTGTGGCTCTTCTCATTTTGCCAAATCATACTAGCATATTAATTTGAGAAAAAGCTTGAGGCAGAAACAGAAGGGAGCCTAGAAAACACACACTATGGAAGCTTCCTTTCTTGCTTTAATACAGGAACTGTGGCAAACTGACATAGAAGGCACCTGGAACGTCCTTTTGTTAGATAATAGAAGAAAGCAAATTGAGCAGTACAGAGATCCTGCTCTAGGGAATTATGATTCCCGCCTCCTCACTCTCCTGATGTTGCAAAAACTTGACAGGAAAGAATTGGTAGTAATTAACTGAGAAATGAACTGATCAATTCTATTTTAAAAATAACTAAAAATATACATATACATAAAACAAACTTCCTAGTGTTCAAACTTATCTAACTGTAAGAGTTAAAAATGAAGGTATTTCAACATACCTTTTTCATGGTCAAACAACAGGTGAGATCATGATACACCACAGGCACAAAATCTTTCGAAAGCTGTACATCAAATTCTACAAAGGCTGCACCCTAACAAATAAAGGAAACAGGGATTTGAAAAACTTTATCTGGTCCACAATCATCTGAAACTACAAGGACATAAAAAATTTACTGTTCACTATAAACTTACAGACCTGTACAGAGAAACAAAAAACTTCTTCATGAGTTAATGTTACACTTTAAGCTTTTTCTAAAAAGTAACTTCTCTGAAAACAATTTTAAGTATTTACTTCACTGTGATAGCACAGCAATTTTTTCCTGGCAAAAATATTGCACTGATACTCTTGAAAACGTCCCACCACTCACTCTGTGGCAGTGGCCGGCCTCTACTACTGCTATTAGCAGAAATGGAGTCCACCAAGAGCCAGGAGTAGAGGTCCACCTTGTGCGTTATGGCCCCTAAGTCCCAGAGCTGGAGAGCTCTGAGAGTCTCTGAGGCTGGAGAGCCTCAGAGATGAGGAGGGAAGAGGAGTAAGCCGCAGTGCCTTAGCTCTGCTCCCTGGTGCCCCTGAGCAACACGCCTTCCAGCCTTTCCTGGCAAAACCCCGAAGCAGCGTAAAGCGGAAAGGATGGGTGCTGCTGACAGAAAGCAGCAATGAGGTCAAGAACTGTGCTGCACAAGCCCAATCTCCTGACTGAGCCACAACAGGATGGAGGATGATGAGAATGAGTTAAGGATGCATTTTTCCAAGTCAGATCCACTCTGATGTAGGAATTAATCCAAATCAAGCTGAGAACATAAACTGACCCACAGAGGTATGCATTCACTGAAAGAAAGCCAGGTGGGATCAAAGGAAATGAGGTCTGAGAATTCTGTTTGTTACTGCAGCCCAGTGCCATGTAAGGACAGATGATATACCTGTACCCCTCCCTGAGGTTTAGGTCACAGAGAGGTGTTTAACTTGTGAGCACACATGGATCCCAGACTAGAATTGAAGGAGCCCATTTCCTTAATGACTTCTGAAGCAGAGTAAGTTTAGCTTCTTCTAGGACTGTAAACAAGACCGTAACACACAGCTTTTCTACTGAACAAACCCAAGCACCCTTAAATAATTATACTAATTAAACAAATCACAGCTCTTTAGTTGAAATATTTAACTTTACAGGATCACCATTGTTCAGGAAGGTAATTTTACCAAGTGATCAAACTTGATCCCAAAATCCATGTGTTAGTGAGTGCTAATAAATAAGCCAATAATGTACCAGAACCTCTATAGGGATACTTCTAACATTAAAACAAACAAGCCTTTAATAACTAGTATATGGCATTCTGAAATGTGATCCATATGAATTACAAAGCATCTCATCAGAACAGGGAAGAAAAAAAGGCTGAATGAAATCCTCTCTCAAAAAGCATGGAGACAATGAAAGTTCCCTAACAGGGATTTTCATGTGTTTACAGCCAATAAACCAATGTTTAGAACAGTTAGCTACAATGAACAAAAACTGGTTCCAAATAATAAATAGAGCCCAACATACTCATTAGATTTAATATAATTTTTTAAACACAAAGACAAAAGTGTCCACTATCAATATTTTTAAACATTAAAATAATATAAAGTGTCATGAGTTATAAAATGCATCATTTACGTACTACTTAAGGGGGAAAAAAGGGCTGCCGATCAAACCATGACACAAGGTTAAGAAAGCTGTAAAACCCAGACCCATTTCAGAGATGCTAAAGTATGAAAAAAGTACGTCTTAGAATAAGTTTGTTCATATAAGTGATAAAGTTAAACATCTCACTAATCAAGTTTACTTGCTGAACTATTTTTAAAAAGGCAAAGTTTAAGGCATGTGGAGGACACTGTGGAAAAAAATGAAAATAAGAGAATGAGATGGTCCTCCATTTTCCCCTTAGCTGACCTTTGGAACATGAGGTCTTTCAGTCAGGTACAGGGGAGCAGGGAGACAGGGGAACCTCAGGTTCTTAAGTACATCAACTTGCAGTTGCTGAAAAAAAATTACAAGCTACAAAATGGACACTTTATAACTGGATAAAAGGAGTTAAGAAATTTAACATAAGCTGGTATGCAGGATGTTAATTGACAGACTGAGATGTTACACCACTATCAAATCCTTCTAATAAGCATTATTCCCAAAGTACCTGAATGAGCACATTATTCAGTTAATGAAAACCAATGCTTAATGGGGAACATTTTTCTTGCCCCAATCACTCAAAACTTGTAACCTCAAACCAAGATGCTAATGATTCCATTGTTTTCATACCAATCTTCCCCCAAAATCTGAAAACAAATGCTTAGAGATACTTTATCTTCAGTTAGATGGAGATTCAGAAAAAGCATAAATTTTCAACCTACTTAACTATTTTTTTTAATGTTTTATTTATTTCTGAGAGAGAGAGAGAGAGAGAGAGAGACAGCATGAGCAGGGGAGGGTCAGAGAGAGGGAGATACAGAATCTGAAACAGGCTCCAGGCTCAGAGCTTGATGTCAGCACAGAGCCCAACATGGGGCTCAAACCCATGAAAAGTGAGATCATGACCTGAGCCAACGTTGGATGTTTAACGGACTGAGCCACCCAGGTGCCCCTACTTAACTTTTTAAAGCTATTAATGGAAGAGACTCTCCAGGCCCACATTTCTCTACTTTCCTACCTTAGGACCAACAGTCCCAAGTTGTTTAAAAGAAGAGAGTGTCACTTACATGACTAGCAGCATTTCTTAAAGAAGCAATAGTATTTTCTTGAACTTTAGCAAGCCTGAAAAGGAAATATATAGATATACAGTTATCGTCCACTATAGAAAAGATAAAACAAATATAAGAAAGAAGCCAACTCTATCTTCAACAATGGAAACAGTTCTTATTCTCTATTTTGAGGCTACTTCTGCCATCACCAAATTAAGACTGTGATCGTCACTTAGTTGGTATATGCATTTATTCCACAAATAAAAGCTCTAATGATTATAGGTATTTACAAGCCTAATATACACATATCCCACACCCACACATACCTCCCCAAGTGAGTTGACCAATCAAAGAAAACAATCTTCTACAGTGGCATGAAGTATGAGACACAGATACTTGCTCCTTGCAATGGTGCCTCAGATGACTTAAGTGTTGGCAGACCAGGGGAATGGGGAAAGGTGGACACCCAGCAAGGCAGCAGTATGGAAATGATACCAAGAATAGGTGAGGAAACTGAGTCCCAGTGAGGGCAGCATGCCAAAAGTTGGGATCACAACACACAGACTGAAGTTTGGGCTGCCTCCCCGCATCAAGCTTTTCTGGATTTCTCTTGTTAATGTCCCTCTCGACATCAGTTCAATAGACAGACTGACCAGATCGTCTTAGGAGACAGCTAGTCTCCAATGAATTTGAATTGGGAACCTTAATGAATTACATTTAATCCCAGGTAATAATAAAAGGTTCGTTTGATCTTTACTGGGCCAAACCAATGGAACTTTATCATGCATAAGCTACCAAATGCTAATACCACTCAAAGAGTCAACCTACTGAGCAGTTGTTGTAGAATTCCCCGCACCACGATGTCCAACATCCAATGGTGTTCTTGGCTTCCAATACTTGGAAAATGAGGATTTCATGTCACAACTGTATCCTGGTAATGGCTTAATAATTATATAGTCAACTTCCATAGAAAAAAAAGGGAAAAAGCAAAGTTAAAGATGATTAAAAAGGCCACGATGAGCGTTTAAGTGGTATTACATTTAAATACCAATCAAACCAACTTTATCAATCTCTATCAAATAGAAAATAAGTAACAAATCAAAACTGATTCAAATAAAGCTTCCAGAAAATGTAACAGATGCCCCTTATTGTTACTGTAGTAGTTAATATTCTAAAACAAATTAATTTAATCACCACCATTCTAAAAACCTCAATTTGAGACTGACTAAAATTCTAACTTAACCTTTGCTCATTGGTAAAGGGCCACTCTGCTTCTCCAGGCTTACCTCTCACTTTGCCTATTGTTTTTCTGGAGTTTCTGCTCATGATGGGAAGAGTGAGAATTCCAGCGCTCTTCCCACTCTCGGCAATGGTGGATGACAAGAGACATGCTGTCCCCACGTGTCCAGGAAGGGCATCACCCTGAACTACGTGTTCACTGAGATCTTCCTGGGGGGGAGGGGGAGAGGTTAAAGTAATTCAATTTCTTATACTTCAATGTTTCCCATTAATTCAGAATCTATGGAGGAAGATCCATAAAATATGAATTAAATTTATATTCAAGTAATTCAGATAGCTTCTTTGTAATACAAATGATACATTTTCTTTCAATATGTAATATTTTAAGATTTCATATGGTATTTGATTACTCCTGTTGATTTGCACTTCTGATCCTCTAACATGTATTAGGTGAATTTAAAACACTGATAAAGTTTCTAAGTACTCTTATATTCAAAAACTAATAAATACCAGTAGTGAGCTGTTAATGTGTTATTATAATTTCTAAAAATGCATCCACATAGGTGACATAAAGGGATAGTTAGCTCTCTAGGAAACTGATTACTCACTCTGAGATTACACTGGATAATTTATCAGCCTAGTCTATGAATGAAATAGTATTTGTAAAACTGCTCACCAAGTGAAAAGGAGGTTAGGATGTTCAAGAGAATATTAAAAGGTCCTTGGGGCACCTGGGTGGCCTCAGTCAGTTAAGCGTCCGACTTCAGCTCAGGTCATGATCTCATGGTTGGTGGGTTCAAGCCCCGTGTCGGGTTCTGTGCCGACAGCTAGCTCAGAGCCAGGAGCCTGTCTTCATATTCTGTATCTCCCTCTCTCTCTGACCCTCCCCTAATCACGCTGTCTCTCTCTCTCTCCAAAATAAATAAAACATTTAAAATTTTTTAAAAATAAATAAAAAAAAAGGTAGGTCCTTAAGAAATAAGGAAACATTCAACCAAAACCTCATATTTTTATAATAAAGTCCCTCAGATCTTATTACTTAGGGAAGACTGAATTACAGATTTTTTAAAACTAAAATTCCTTATTATAGTTGTGTGAAAGGAAACACTTTAAATCCCATACAATGCAAGGTAGCCAAAAATGCCAGTTGCAACAGCTATGCATAAAGATTAAATAACTCAGGGATTATAATGATTTTATAATTATGTGTAACAAACATTACTTATGGGTTTAAATCTATTCTGTATTCTGTTATTTTCATGAAACTGTGGCTAGGTGCTTTCATCTAGTGGAAACGGGAGTGCAAGTCACAAAGAGCACGAGTGCAAGGAAAGCAGTACACATAACCACTAGCAGGGCAACAAGGACCTTAGCAGAGGACCCAGCATGACCGGTGGAGAAGAGTACCTGTACAGCCGGCACGCCAGACAGCTCTAGTGGTAACAGTCACAAGTAGCTCTGGAAAGCTGGCAGCAGATTCTAAACAACTTGGCACAATTTTCATAGCAACTATTTTTTACTACATATTTATAATAGCAAGTAAAGTTGCAAAAATGAGTTCACTGTTATGATGAATAAGAATTCATAATAAAATGCCTCATTAAACCACAGGCTTCAGTCATGAAGAGGCCTCAATTATGCTAGTTAGTTACACTGAGTTGCCCACCAATAGTTATACAGTCTGCCTGTCCCTCTATTTGCCCTTAGAGGCTCCTTTGGATATTATTCATTTATATTCAGAACAGGCACAAGGGTGCCTGGTTGGCTCAGTTGGAAGAGCATGTGACTCTTGATCTGAGGGCTGTGAGTTTAAGCACCATGTTGGGTGCAGAAATTACTTAAAAACAAAAAATTCTTCAGGGCGCCTGGGTAGCTGAGTCAGCTGAGTGTCCGACTCTTGACTTTAGCTCAGGTCATGATCTCATACTTTGTGAAATCAAGCCCCGTGTTGGGCTCTGTGCTGGCAGCACAGAGCCTGCTTGGAATTCTCTTGCTCTCTCTCTCTCTCTCTGCCCCTTCCCTGTGCTCTTTCTCTCTCAAAATAAATAAATAAACCAAAAAAAAAAAGCAAAGAAAAAACAAGTAAAACTTTAAAAATCTTTAAAAAAAGGCACTTACATCAAGACATCTGGTTTTGATGTAAAACATCAATTCAGCTGAAATTTTTTTATAGTACTTGAGTCTATCAACTCCAAGTTTTTTAAGCCTGCTAACATGTATAGAACATCTAAAAATATGTATGATCATGGGCTTACACAAATCAGACCAAATAAAATCAAAACATGTAAAAATAAGCCCATGCTTACATTCTTTCTCAATTCCCTCAATGAAATAATCACTTACCTCAAAAAAATCAAATATTAGCTCCAGGTTATCTGGTTCCATTGTCTGTATGCTGTACTCTGTCCAACGATCAGGCTGTAAGCCATACCCACACTCTGGCTGTGAATGCCTGCACTTGAATTCATGGTCGCTTATTAAGGATATCTCCAGGCTGTTGGACATTTTGTGAAGAATGGTAGGAGACACCCTATCATCGTCATCTTCTTCCAAGCCCTCTAGTGTCAACTTTACCCTACATAAAAGGAAAAAATAATGAAATACCAAAAAAAAAAAAAAAAAGGCAAAGGAAAACTCATACGAATGTTCCCTAAACGCTAAATGCCCTGGGGGCGCCTGGGTGGCTGAGTCAGTTAAACATCCGACTTCAGCTCAGGTCATTATCTCATGGTCCATGAGTTTTGAGCCCTGTATCAGGCTCTATGCTGACAGCTTAGAGCCTGGAGCCTGCTTCAGATACTGTGTCTCCCTCTCTCTCAGTCCCCCTCCACCCCTACACTCTGCCTCTCAAAAGTGAATAAATATTCAAAAAAAATTTAATTTAAACAAGTGTTCCTTGAATATGCAAATTCTTCAAATTACAAAAATATCATATTATATAAAACTACACATGCTACAGATTAAGACATTAGTTACGTTTCATAAAATACTAATGTTTTTATCTATATATATTTCTGCAAAGTATTAAGAAAACAAGGTAAATGCTCATTATGCTTAAGTTGTTTTCATTGTTTTTTAAAAAATGAATCTACAGAGGTATTTACTATTATCTCATTTATAAGTGGCTATCTCCAGTTCTTCCGAAAAGTCTTATCAAAGAATATACATATAAAACAAGCACAAAATTGAACCATATTGTTAGTGTACTTTAAAAGACTAGAGTTGGAAGCTGTATATTAAAATTTTTCCCCTTTCTTCTACCTTATCCACAGTGAGTCCAGGTACTCTGTGAAAAGTACACTATCAAAGAAAAATACTGTACCAGAAATATTTATATGTATGCATACTTTTTACATGTGTGATGTATTTATATTTATGTGCTTTCTAAAGGAAACAAATGAACAAAAAATAGACCAAGAGTCTAAAACGTTTTAGGCTTCAAGCAATGAAAACAAAAACCAAACTATCTAAGCCACAGAGCCACAAAAACCAGTCTCCTTCCAAGGAGAAGCAAATACTTGCATAGCAAACTTGTAATGCTACACAGTCAACTCAATTTTAGAATATTTCTTGCACCAATTGAAATGTACATAGATTAGGAGCGCCTGGGTGTCTCAGTCAATTAAGCGTCCGACTTCGGCTCATGATTCACAGTTCATGGTTTTGAGCCCTGCGTTGGGCTCTGTGCTAACAGCTTGGAGGCTGGAGCCTGCTACAGATTCTGTGTCTCCTAATTTCTCTGTCCCTCCCCCACTCATTCTCTCTGTTTCTGTCTCTCTCTCTCTCAAAAACAAACATTAAAAAAATAAAAAAGAAATGTCAACAATTATAAACTATTAACATAGAAGCAATGTGACCTGCCTTACAGAGTAACAGTTGCGCTATGAATACTTTTCACTCTAGATTTAAAGGAGATCTGATAGGGGCGTCTGGGTGGCTTAGTCGGTTAAGCGTCCGACTTTCGCTTAGGTCATGATCTCGCGGTTCGTGGGTTCGAGCCCCGCGTCATGCTCTGTGCTGCCAGCTCAGAGCCTGGAGCCTGTCTCAGTCTGTGACTCCCTCTCTCTCTGACCCTCCCCTGCTCATGCTGTCTCTCTCTCTCTCCTAGAAATAAATAAAAAACATTAAAAAAAAAATAAAGGAGATCTGATAACACAAACAACGGAATTGTATTAGTGGGGCCTGCTCTCTCTACATGACCTACTGCCTCCAACCACTGCTGAGGCCCGAGGTCTCTCAGAGGGCACATCTACACAAATTATTCAATTGGCAATACTGTTCTATAATCACACAGTAAAATCAGGCGTAATATTTCAATAATACAAACAAAAATCATCTTTTCTCAGAAGTCTAACTCTTATGAATAGTTCTAGAGAACTGATTCTATTAGCCTGAAGGAACATTCTCTACCATGATATATGAAAAAAGACCACAATTGGAAAGAAAGGTATGAAGATTTAAAAAACGACTATTTTGCTAATAGCAACGTGCTTTAGAAAAAAAAATTTAATAAAATTTTTCAAAAATTCAAGTTTAAAGCAATCCATGAAAGAATTTTAGTCATTTATGTTAAAGGTTTTCTTCAAGTAGCTATATAAAGGTTATAATCTATCATTATCTATAATCTATAATCTAAAGAGACATTGCTTTCCACTTATTGATGAAGTCAACTAAAAGAGAAATTTATATTTAAAACTTAGTGGTAATGATACAGAATAGCATGTCTAATGTTTTATTTAAAATGCATAAGCTTTTGCTAGGTTTTTAAAGTCCTGATATTCTTGTAGGTAAATTTACTTCCTATGCCATGAGGGTTTAATCTATCACTAATATGAATTGGGGGAGGGGGGGGTGGAGAACGTGGTCAGAACAAACACAAATCTCTGGTTATGCACAATTTTTTTAAGTTTATTTTTTTTAGTAATCTCTACACCCAAAATGGGGCTTTAACTCAGGACTCTGAGATCGAGTCACATGCTCTTCCAACTGAGTCAGCCAGGTGCCCCATACACAATTATTTCAATAGGAATCAGTTAATTAATAATAGAGCCTACCAAAGTATGGTTATACAAAAACATTTCTATATAAGCCTGAGTAACACAATAATATATACAAACACTCAAAATAACTTACACATAAAAAAGAATGGGATAGGACTCAGTATGCATCTGCAGTTCAAGCAGAACCCTAACCATTAATTATCTACTAGTTTCTTTAAAAACAATTTTTTTTTTGAAAGAGAGAGCGTGCGTGCATGAGAGGGGAGGGGCAGAGAGAGAGGGGGAGACAGAGAATCTGAAACAGGCTCCAGGCTCCAAGATGTCAGCACAGAGCCTGATGCAGGGCTCAAACTCAGGAATGGCAAGATCATGACATGAGCCGAAGTCAGGTACTTAACCGACTGAGCCAACCAGACACCCCATATTAATCTCTTAACTAAAGTCCAGGAAAGAAACTAGTCCTAATAAGCTCAACCAATTGGTTATCTGGTTTATCTTCTACAGCTATCTTTATTCCAAAGTCTCATTTTCTAAGAAGACACTTTATAACTGTATTTGCTTCTTTTCACATGTGTAAATAAAAGATTCAATTATGTACAAAAAAGGCCTAGAAACACAATTCACAAAGACAAGGTCCACCCAAAACCCTTCACTTACTCTCAGAACAGCCAGTGGAAAGGATGGTGAAGTGCCACCCACCCTGTCCCTGTTTTATGACTGCAAGAAGTAAGTACTACGGTACTGACGCAGTTATTACAGAACACTTATGGGTTATAAACGATAGCATCCTGTAATTTTTACTATGAAAACAGTAAGTATTGTATTATCAATTACTTCAGTTGCCAAAAATGGCCCTTTCAACCCAGGCTGACAGTCAGAACACAATGCACTACTTACTATTACTTCCAACTCTCAGTCTGTAAGTTATAAAAACTCAAATGATAGCACTGACCGGGTTACTGAGAAGCTAGCTCACTCAAAGGTATATATGACACTACAGAAAAATAAAGTTACTCACTATGTAGCTATTTACACAAAACTTAACATCTATTCTTAAATTAATATAGGATTAAAAAGAAACTAATCTGGAACTGCTATGATCACTGCTACTCTCATTGTGAAAAAGTCTGTTTTCAAGCCATGGAAATTTTAGAATACTGAAGGATATTTCCAATAATCATTTTTCTCTGTGTATGCCATTATCCCCTCATTAGCACAAATTCATTTCTGTCATATGAATTTTAAAACAAAGTATTGCAGGGGCGTCGGGGTGGCTCAGTGTGTTGAGCGTCTGACTTCAGCTCATGTCAAGATCTCACAGTTTATGAGTTTGAGCCTCATGTTGGGCTCACTGCTATCAGCTCAGGGCCCACTTCACATTTTCTTCCCCCTCCTCTCTCCGCCCATCTCCCACTGTGTGTGTGAGTGTATGGCGTGCATGTGCTCGCTCGCTCTCTCTCTCCCCTTGCCTCTATCACAAGAAATGAATAAACATTAAACTAAAACAAAAAAATAAAGTATTGCAACACTAAGAAATTGTAAATGGTAGAAACTACAAAAATACATACACTTGGAAATCAATTAGCTCTATAAAAACAAAATTTTCTGGTTTCAAATTTAGCAATTAAGACTAAGAGAAGTGGGGTACCTGGATGGCTCAATTGGTTGAGCACCCAACTTCAACTCATGTCATAATCTCACGGTTCACGAGTTTGAGCTCCGTGTTGGGAGTTGTTGAGCTCTGTGCTGACAGCTCAGACCCTGGAACCTGCTTCAGATTCTGCATCTCCCTCTCTCTCTGCCTCTCCCTTGCTCATACTCTGACTCTCTCTCTCTCAAAAAATAAACAAACATATAAAAAAAAAAGACTAAGAGAAATATGTTCACCTGTAACAATCTGAGTCAGGGAGGAAGTTCACTCTTACAAGACCCTTCAATTAGTAAATGTGACATTATCTATAAGTGGGTTAAAATCAAATGGGTCAGGGACACCTTCATAGCTCAGCTCAGTCAGTTAAATGTCTGACTTTGGCTCACGTCATGATCTCTGGTTCGTGAGTTTGAGCCTAGCATCGGGCTCTGTGCAGACAGCTCAGAACCCGTAGCCTACTTCGGATTCAGTGTGCATCTCTCCCTGTACCCCTCCCAGGCTTGCATTCTGTCTCTCTCAAAAATGAACATTAAAAAAACAAAAAGAAATCTACAGCATTAGTAAAACTAAGCGGTCTTAGTAACAAATACACATGGCCATACCTAAATCTAGATTTCTTTAATTTTTTCTTTGTTATTGAGACAGGAGGCTTTTCAGAATAATGCAAACGTAATCTTATTTCAGTCTGACATGTCAGCCATCCAGAATCCAGAGTTTCAACACCATCTGGCAGAGTAAATATGAAAAAGTAATTATTATACATATTGCTTTGAAACAATCTGTTAAGTACAACACACACTGACAATTCTAGTTCATGTTCACGTTTTAATACACTCAGGTTATATCACTGGAACTTGTCTCCAAAGTAAACATAGAGGTAGTATTAAATTTATCACTGAAAAAGACTTTATATGAAGTAAGGGACAAAAAGTTAAATGAATGTTGACAATTAACCATATGTTACAACTTAAGTAAATTAAATTTAAACTTAAGTAAATTCTCACTGCATCCATTATCAAAGTTATACAAATCTATTTCTGAAAAGAATACGTGTTCCAAATACCTCTAACCTAGCAGCTGTTTTACTGGGGATCGCTAAGACATTTGTAAAGCATCATGAGCTATTTAGCCACTAGACATGGAGCTTCACATATGAGAAGGTAAGGACAAAACTGTGAGTCAATTCTGTATTCTTGCATTTCTATTTTCTGTCATAAATAAACTGCATAATCATGCTAACACTGTGTTAGCATTATTTAACTTAAAGTTTCTTGCTACCATATGCAATAAAAGTTCCATAAATACCAGAGAGTTATCAACTGTTTCAAACCTGAGTTTTTTTTTTTTTTATCAGTAGGACCTGATAAAAAAGAAGAAACTGGGGTGCCTGGGTGGCTCAGTTGGTTAAGCATTTGACTTCGGCTCAGGTCAGGATCTCACAGTTTGTGGGTTCGAGCCCCACGTCAGGCTCTGTGCGGACAGCTAGCTCAGAGCCTGGAGCCTATTTGAGATTCTGTATCTCTCTCTCTCTGACCCTCCTCTGCTCGTGCTGTCTCTCTCTGACTCTCAAAAATAAATAAAAAACATTAAAAAATTTAGAAAGAAGAAACTTTTACGTATAATTTTAAAAGGTTTAATGATTTTCAAGTTTTAAAAATAAAGAAACCACTATCCTTTCTTAATTTTAAACTGTTCTCAGAAATGGACAAAGTTGGAGAATGGCTTTCCATCCCGAAAGCTAACTTAAGCTGAGTTTTAAGAGAACAACAACTACAAAGAAGGAAAGAAATGCTACTCATTTATAACTATACATAGTAATTAACATACAATAGAGGGACGTAATGTCATGCATTATAGTTAAGGACATGAGAAAACAACTCCATAAACCAAGCTCTCTAAAATATGTAGCATAAAAATAAAATCTTTTGTAAATAATGAGGACAAGACTCTAAAACACTAACACCAAAGCTATTCAAGTATTTTAGGCTACCTTATAATGTAATATAAATATAGTAATCCCAAAAAAATTAAGAAAAAGAAGATAAATTCCTATCCAAGTACTGTCAAAGCATGTGTATTTCTGAAGTGCATAAACACATATATGTAGTATCTGCTATTCATCTCTTCTTCACAGTCACTGTAAGCACACATTCTGCTCGCCCCTTTTATATCATTGACTTCTACAATATAAGATCTAAAATAAAAGTGCAGTTTAGCATGATAACGCTATTATACTGTGTGAATTCCAGTCACTGAAGACAACTTGAATCCTCAGGATAAAGTATTTACTGAAGCAGAAAAATGTATGAATGCATAACATTTTCAACATATTCAAAGTAAAAGCGTTGTCTATGTACTGTAAATGCATACACACACACACACACACACACACAATGCACAAACTTAGCTGAAGAGTTTAGAATGTTCAGAAACGTTAATATCAAACATGAAGTGTTAAAAGTAATAATAAATTAACAGTTAGGTATAATACCTTCAAATTAAGTATATTATCTCATACACCTGAAGTCACTAGTCAAATGAAAACAGAAAGGATAAAATTTTAAAGCTTAAAAATTATACTAGAAACTATTACGTAACAGAATGTAATTGTTTCTTGGATCTAGTCTCTATTTTCATTATCATGCTCTGTCATATTTTCCTGTGCTGTTTCTAATGAAATGTAAAGTAACATTTCAATTATTAGTTGTAAAGATTTTAAAAACTCGGTTCACTTACTGTGGATTCCAAACTGTCCATCGTCAATAATAATTTCACTTTCTAAAATTGAAGGAAAATAAGAAAACCTAGTTAAAATTCATGATGTATACAGAATGAACAACTGAGAAATTACCCACCTTAAGGATTTTTTAAAATATTAAATCTAAAATTTACAAGCAGCCCAAAGTGAATAAGCATATTTATTGTAGCCCTCAATAAAGAATTCCCTTTTAAGGAGACTAGCAAATGGTAAAAGTGCTTACAAACTTGGTGATGATTCATGGTGTTATAAGGAAGAGAAAGAAAACTCCTCAGAGAGGTGCTCTGGAGGTGCTGGGACAAACCTCTCCACCCACCAATTTATGAGACAGGCTGCTGAACAACAGTAGCTCCCAGCTGATTGTTTAAACCAAAAGTCTTGGCACAATTAAAATGCTTATTCTTATGTAGTGCATATTCTGAACTTATCTATCTAAAAAGTAATTCTCCTCAAATCCCAACTGTTCTCTATAGCCAGCTACAAGCTTTACAAACAGCACAAACTTACCTGCATACACAGAGCTGTGAGGGACTACCAAAAGAATAAGTGCTAGCACATTCCCTTCTAACAGAAATTTCAGCTAAATAAGAAAAGCTGGTAAGCACCCCCTTGAGAAAAACACTATCTCCCCTGCTACTTCCCTTCCCGGTTTTATTATAAACGTAAGTCTGATATATTCGTCAAAATAAGTGTGATAGTTTCCAATAAAGATTCTTGGTAGATTTCACGCAGCTCTTAAGTTTAGAAGTTATGTTTTCTAAAAGTATATTAATTTTTAAAAGACCAGAAACAAACATCTCACTTCTCACAATAAGTATATATATTTAACTGCAAGATGCTTCCAAACACAAATTATTTTTTAAATGTTTAATACCTAATTAATTTCCAACCTCAGTATGGGACTATTAGAATTCTAAAGAACACTACTATGAACATTCTAAATATACTATCAAAAAATGTATTAAAACATAAAAAGAAAATCCAATAAAGAGGATGGAATGAAGTATCTGCTTAAACAAGATGTGCTCTTGCCACAGAGTAAAGCAAGATCTCTCACTACTTTATAATCTAAGATAGCTACTAGCAAGCCATTTATTATCTTTAAATGCTAATTCTCTCTAGAAGCTAAAAGAAAACAGTTCTCAGCACTAAGTCTATTTACAGATGAATCCAAGTGGGTAATTTATGTATGCAAAATGAACTTCAAATTTTATAATCTCAGTATGGAAAAGGAAATTCAAAAATACTTGTATGAAGAGAAATGCCATGTTTAGGCACAAGGAAACTGAATGATGTTAAAAAAAAACAACAACTGAGTATCAATATTAACATAGCCAGCAGGTATTTAAGTAAATTAGGAGGAAAATATGTCTGCTACCACCAAGAAATCTGAATGCATTCATACAGGGTTATTCAAGTATTTACTAGTTAAAAACAAAACATAACAAAACACAGGATAAATAGGATAACTTACTCTATTGTTCTTAATATTCAAAGTTAAAAATTTAAGAAATCTTTGTTTTGGATTAATTCTTTCCTCAAATGTTCTCTAAGCTCTCTGAGCAAATAAAGCCATGGATGCTCAGTGAAGAAGAATGTTATTTCACAAACTTTGTAACCACTCCAAATGAAAAGAAATATTCCACAATAAATCAATCTAATCCCCTCCCCCCAAATAACTTGGCAAGCATTTCTAACAAAGTTTATAAAGAAAGGCAAATAAGAACTGTTTAGTTCTAAAAGATCCATGATATGCTAAGTGAAATTTGCAGTACTGACAATGCATTGACCTTAAACTTTAGAATAAAAATTTATTAAATCCCACTAAGCCATTGTGCAGCATATTAGTAACTTTATGCATATGCCTCAAACAGATGCAGTTAATGCCCATACCTAAAGGGGTTATTGATCGTGGTTGTAGATGAGTCTCCCACTTGTGAACTATGACTTGGCATGGACCACCGATAGTCTGCAATTTAAAAGTTAAACGTCTGCAATAATTTCTTATATCTTATTTTCTACCCATGACTCCATTAGATGTTTGTGGCCTAAGTCTTATACTAAATATGAAACCAAGAGATTCATCTTGTTATTTATCAATATTATATGCCAAAAATCAGGAAAGTACCAGGTCACAAGACATGATGAGTGCTGGAAGAAAATGAGGGTGAGGCAGGAAACAGAGAAAAATGAGATGAAACTGGCACATAAAACCATCTTAACCTTATTCTTAAATCTGCCTACAATATTCAAAATATTTTAAAAGAAATTTTCCATCTTTAGCTGATGTTCTGTCTTAAGTTAAACTTAACACCAAATATAATTTATGCTTGGTTATGTCAGCAGTCAATGAAGTATTACTGAATAAAGTATCTCCTCTTAAGTAACTCTCCAAGTGTCTGGGAAAAGCCTAAACTCTGTGATAGTAGGAATAGTGGGTACAAGTACTTCAAGATCAATGATCACAAGTTACTGAAGGAACTAGAGGGCACAATAAAGTTCTTTATTATAGTAAGTAAATAACAAAAACATAAGATTTCTCCTAGAAACCAATGTTTCTAAAAAACACAGGAAACCCTAAAAGAAAAGACATGTACATGAGTAGCTTTGAAGAGTAAGTTTGATAAAAGCGGAAACATCTAGTTTTACTCCTTATGCCTTAGAGCTCATAAATTCATACAGTGTAACAACTAATACTGTCTTCTGTTATGAAGTTCTCTTACTAAAAGCAGAAAATAAAGCTTTATGTATTAATATCTACAGCAATTTAAAAAAATGAACTATCAACACTTGGACGGATGTACTGTTTCCTTATTTCCCTTTAATTATTAAAAAAAAAATTGACTAAACTTATGTGCCAAAAATAAAACCTTTAAATGTACATTTTAGAAGCAAAATTTCAAACTATAACTTTGTAAGATATTTTTACAATTCTTTTCACATCTTCAGAAGACATTTAATAAAAACACAAACAATCAAAAAAAATAAAAAATCATTATCACACCACTTAGGGATAATCACTGTCATAATCTTCAAGCCCTTTTCTAAGCATACTCTTAAAAAGTACAGAACTTGTAACTTCTCTCTATATACTGTAAACTTTTAGATAACATTAAATACTCTTCTATATCATGGTATAGGATTTCAATATTGATTAACAATAAATGTGCCAAATGAGAACAAATGAGTATGAGACAAATTAGGCACAGAAAGTAATTAAACACAAGAGATAATTCTGCCACTTAAAAATAACCAGAGGTTGAAATCTTTTTTAAAACTTGCAAACTTTTGAACTTGAAAACTAAAATAGCATTAGCTATTCATTCAAATCATTAATCCTGGTATAATATAGGAAATCCTCATTTTCTCTAGCTGAATACCTAGAGGGTATTCAGGGTTTTAAGGGTTCACTTATGAACTGGTAGACTGGGCAGATGTTCTTACGTTTTGTTTTTAACGTGAAACTATTCACTATTCATCTTAAATATGGTGAATTTCATTTCCACTAAAAATAGGGAGATACATATAACCCTACATCTGCTAGATGTTCTTTACTACAACTTTTCCCTGTCACATTTTTCTGTATTTGTTTTTTAAACCTCAAACTTTCTAATGCTCAAAAGATGCAAATATATGTATTAAAAAAGGCACAATGTTTCTTAGCAATGAACAGCAGCCGGAAAGATCTAACATGTTTGACCTTCATTTTTCTCATGTCCCCTGCATGCCCTTCTTCCCCCAAAATACCCTCTTTGCTACAAAGATGGTGTAGATCTATATTCTTATAGAAGTTACTAACCACAGGTGACTTCAAAGGGTGCCAGGAACATAATATTAAATATCAGCAAAGATAAGAAGTGGAAAGAAGAGTTTGTTCTTGTATTAATTCAGGTGTGTGGGGGAACCTCACAAAGTGTTGACTACAATATCTACATTTAATCATGTAAGAATAGCCCTGTGGATAAAATATTTGATAAAGAACTTATTTTAATAATATTTCAACAACTCTGCCCTCATCCGCTTTAGCAGCAAACACACTATTCCCAGCATAAAACAACCTAGGCTTGACAAAATGGACCATTTGAGGAGCAGTTCAAAGAACTGATTCAACAGGTAATTTATAATTGTGTATATAAGTGTCCACACTACAAATCCATGTTGGTTGGTAAAACAAAATGTTACAACATAGAAAAAAATTCACCAAGTTTTAAAATACTCTGAACTTCCAAAATTCTTGTGACTACTTTATTAAACTTTAGAAGGTAATCTTAAATTTTTAGCTTACTGTAGTTCTTAAGAAAAATTTAAGACGTAAGCACTGAGAAATTAAAAATCTCAGTAATGACCCCAAAACATGCAATCCTTTTAATATGCTAACTGTAATACACTCATTCTTCAAATGACTGTATTTTTTTCTTTAAAAAAAAAAAAAGAAAAGTTCCATTCTGTAAAAGGTTGCCACAATTTTAAGTACTTTGGAATCAAGTGAAAGTGGATCTTTGAAGAAAATATAACATTAGCAGTCCAAGACAGTATTCCATTAATAGCACTGATAACGTTTCACAATTTAGCATATATTAAATCAGATTGTTGCTGAAATATTTCCAAACAAACATGTTAACAAAAATACAAAATAATCTATTTCTGAAAAGAAAGGAAAAAAGCATAATGACTGCTTTCTTAAACAGTGACTGACATCACTCAGCAACATCAAAAGCACTGAGAGAAACAACATGTAGACTCAGGTTTTTGATCTGTTTTGTTCTAAACAAACCATGTAGCAAAATTATCAACAAGTCATGCAAATATCACTGCTTTCAAATACAAAAAATGTAAATGTAACCTAAAATTTTATTGACTGTTTTTCTACATTTTGAAAAATTAAAAAACAAAGATGCATATAAAAAGGGGTTCTGAGAAGTTTTTATTTATGATGGCAGAGGCTAGACCTATAGCTATTTAATAATCATTATTTTTAATAAGACCCATAGGAAAATGGTCACCTATGGGTAGGCAAGTAAGCATGAAGTGAAGAAGCTAGACAGACAGACATTTCTGAGATGGTTAAATTTGAGATTAACAGCTGAGGGTATTTAACATCCAAAATAATTTCATTAAGAAAACCACTGTACAAAATGAGAACCTGGGCTATTTTGAAAATAAACAATGATATGCCTATCACAGATGATTGATTTTTTTTTGTTACAGGATTTAAACAAAAATCAAGGGAGATTAAGAACAAAGCAAGAGTTTGTAATGACCTAATTATGAGTAAATGTTAACACCTATAAAAATTGAAGCAGGTAAGTTGCTGGAAAATAAAGAACTATTTCCACTGAAATGAAGGAAAAGACTCCAAAACAATAAAATTAAAAATTGGCTAACATTTCACTATAAGGTTACATTCCTAATTCCAGCCACAAATATAGAGGGACAGACATGGATTAAAAATGTTAAATGTTCACTGAAAAATTGTCTTTGGTGAAGATGTGAAATTAATGGACCATCTGCAGACTCACACCCGTGTTTTCATTCCAGGAATATCTACAACTTTTGTTTGCTATGTTTAAGATAATATTGTGATTTGTCACTTATAACATTATTTTAAAATTCAACATTATTAACATGTTATTCGAATTCTAAAAAGTAGAAAAGAATAGGTAGCCATGAAAAATTGAGAGAAAAAGGATTTCAAGACTCTTAACTTCTAAACTAAAAGGAATATGCTAGAAAAAGCAAAAGTGGAAGAAAAATATGAACGGTAAAATTTTATTTATTTGCAATAAAATTTCAGCAATGGAAGGGACCTAGGAAATCTATAGTTCAAGCCCTTCATTTTTATCTATAAGGAAACTAAAATATGAAGGTCAAGTGACAAGATCACACGATTTTTAGCTTAGGCTCTACAAATGCTTGGGTAGACTACTTCCTAAGACTTTTGACCCAGCAAAATTCATCTTATTATTCATTTCAGTCTTTCAATGTTTCATAATTACTTTGTTTTCCTATCATTCTTTATATTCCTAAAATATATATTCCAATAGCTTACATCATCTTATAGTTTAAGGCTCTTTGTACATTAGTTTTATCATCTGACAATGCATAATGGAGACAAAGTTTCATAATTATTTCTACTTAAAATGTTTCACTTAAAAAGCGCCACCAACTTTTAAAAGTGTCACTTTAAGCTGGCATGTGGGAAAAAAACCCTCTAGCTATATGCATGGGATTTTATGTAGCTATTTACTCTAGTCCATGAAAAACATACTTACCATGGCAGCCCCTGCATCACACGGTACATGTGTACACGATACAGAGCACCTACTTAAAGAAACACACTCACCAACACATACTGTAAACTTTTGCAAGTATTACAAGGGGAAAAACTTGTTTTTTACTGTAAGCAGACTTCTTGCCAATTTTTCCAGAAAGGCAATTTGGACTGATTTGCTGCTTCTGGCTACATTTTTAATGAAGAAGAAAAATACTGTAGGTTGGCTTAGTTTGATTGTGTTGACAATAGTCTTACTTTAGAAAGTAGTCTTTACTTACTATGCCCAAAGGACTCATTATGATTTTTCTTGTCCAAATGCCCCTTAAGTAAAATTTAGTTGATTTCACATATTACAAATTTTACATACCAGGATCCTCAGATAAACCTTTGACATCATGTGTTACGACCTACCTTCCCTGCACAATCGTTCAATTTATACTAAAAAATTTTGCCACTATGCATAACCCCTATGCCAAATAAATGATCTTAAGTCATTAAAATGAGACTATTGTCAAGATAAGCCAACGCAATGATCAACCATAATTAGTTTTAATTACTGAGTAGTCACAATATATTCTTGGAATAAGAAACGTAATAGGTGCAAAAGACAGCTGAAGTGGCTTTGTCAGTTTTTTCTTTTCTATAATGGTGGCTAAGAGAATGAGTAACAGTGGCTGCTTGCATTTTTCACATGTAACAAGTATTCAATGATCCCAAAGGGAAATGAAATTTTTAAAAAGGGTATTCCATGCTTTGCTTTCTAAACTCCTGCCTAAACCCCTGTTCACATGCAGCCCAAGTGTGCTCAAAGATAAAAATCTGAAGGAAAAGAATCCTTTCAGGAATAAGCATCTTTAAAATAAGAGGGAAGAATCATTTTTTTTCTTTTCCAAATATGAAAACAATCCCCAAATAATAAATCATTGTGAGCAAGCAGACTAGATTTAACAGGTATTCCAAAAGCGTTCAGAAAAGATCCTAATCTATCAACACCATCGTTGAAAAATCTAAGAGGAATGACTTCAAGTTTTCATAGGAGTTAAAACAATGCAGCCACTGAGAGATGGCTGTTATGAAATAATTTTTTAAAAGAATTACTCAAAGCTGGCTATATACTCCTCCAAATGTATTTAAACAACATAAGGATTTTTTAAAAAATGAAACAAAAAGAAAACCCTTATAACTGGTTACTAACAGGTTTACAAAGGTTACAGAAAATGTACAGCTACTGAGAACATTCATTTGTCATTAAAACCAATTTCATAACAAGAATACTGCAGAATATACTTACTATTAGTCTTTTAAAACTCCATTGCAGACATCGTCTGCCTCTGAAGTGGCTACTTCCTTGATTTTTAGTTCTAAAATATTATTATGCTAGAGTTCTGTTTTCCTTACTTGATCCAAACAAATTCATATTATTTTTAATGTTTCCAAACTTAAATTAGTTGCTTTTGAAAGAAGTAAGTTTGTTAAAGACACTGGAAACTAGATAAAGAAAACATACCTTTGGTTCTAAAAAGCACCCTCTGAAGTAGCGGTACTGAACTGATACTCCTCTAGTGAGTACAATGGTTGCTTTCCATAACATGCTGTGACAAAAAAGAATTAGAGAGGCAGCATTAAGATCAAACTAAAGTGCATAAAGCCTTCACAATTCAGAAAATCCCTCAAGCAAGGTCTGTGACCAATACCGTTTATTTATTTCTACACAAAATTTTACTCCAGGCCTACCCAGCACCAGGCACTGGGAACACAGTGATGAATAAGGCAGAAAGAGCCCTATCTTCAAGCAGACTGCTTTCTTGTGAGGGTAGACAAATAATCAAACATACACAGTAAGGGATGTTCAACCTTTCTGACATGCAGGAGGTTTTAGAGGAGAGGCCTCAATGAGGAAGAACTGTCTGATAGGAGTCCTACATAATAAGAGGGAACCTGTCATAAAAGAGCCAGGAAAAGTATTCCAAACAGAAAAAGTAGCACAAAGGTGGAAGCCAGAGTCTGAGAATTCTCTGACTTCTCACCTAGTTAGAGATGTTACAGGGCTAAGAGGCTTTAGGGCTGAGGCAGGCAAGCTATTCTCATGTTCCCAACTGTCCCATGTTCTGACTGTCCTGCCCTGCTTCTCGCTAATTCATTCCTGTAGCCAAGCAGTATCTGTATCTTACTTGTCTCAACTCAAAAGTCTTCCTCCAAACAATGCTATGCTAACAGAGTCTACTGATATTCTAAAGCTTTGACTCAACAGTGAAAGAAATCACTACAATTCATGATTATAACTGCCTCTTACCTTCCAATCATAGACCATAGTGTGATCCAAGGACCATCAGTATCATCTTGGAGCTTGTTAGAAATCCAAATTTTTAGGCCACACCTAGAGACCTAATGAATTAGAAACTCTGGGGGGAAGGTCCAACAATCTGTAATTTAACAAGCCTCCAGGTGACTCTGATGATGAACACCTAAGTTTGAGAGCCACTGTCATAGACCATTACCCAAACATTAATTCAGCCTGAATAGTTCGGTGAATAAACAGCAGCTCCAAATGTTCATCCATGATACCAGATGGCTACTACTGCTCCCCACCTGGCTCTGCCAAGACAGGCTGTAGGGCATTAGCCTGACTCTGACTCAATCCTGGTTCCTAGAAAAAATCCACAACCAGCTGTCACCCATGGCCAACAATTAGATTAATCTGGTAGTAATAAAACACACATGCCTTGGCTCTACCCTAGGAGACTCTGATTTCATAGTTCTGGGTGGAATCTGGTCATATGGCATCTGATCAAACTTCCCAAGGTATCTGAATATATAAGGCTGGTTGAGAATCACTGCTATAAAACAAGAATAGCAAATGCTTGGCACATGTGCCCTCCTACTCTTCCCCGGTAAGCCTCAGAAGCCTTTTCAACACAGCATCCCAGGCAGACTCTACCAACTCTGAGGTGAAAGTATTTCTCACCTCTGCTACCAAAAAAACAGCAAATCTCTAATACTACCTCATTCATAAACAGCCAGACTATGCGAGACTAGCCCCACATGTACAGTAGGATTAGCAAGAAGCTTTGAAACATGTGCTGGGGCCTCTCTCTCAAGCCTTATTCCTCATTCCCCAGGGACAGGATCTAGCTATTTTTTAAAGCCCTCACAAGTAAGTCTAACATACACTCCTCGTTAAGAACCATTGAATGAATGAGAAGAGATAGAAAGAGCAAAGCAATGAGTTTTTTTTACTCCATTTCTCTTAAATAAAGGTTGCAAAATTAAAAATGAACCAGAACTGTTCAGTGACAAAAAAAACATAATCTGATGAAATTTAAGAAAAAGGAAGACAGAGGCAACGAGGTTTAGTGCACCTGCCTGATTTTGAATAGCCCCCTCATATCCTGCCCCAAAATACCATAAAATCTATAAGAGCAAATAAAACCACAAGTGACCCACATTTTCTGCATTATTAGGAAACAATACTATGACCTTCAAATTATCTGTAAGTTGGGAAAAAAATCCTAATAGAGCTGTTGTCACTACAAGCCTATAGGTAGGGAAAGGCTTAAGAAATTCTAAGAAACAGGAGGTACGGAGGCCTTAGAAACAGACCACACTGAGGGGGCACCTGGGTGGCTCAATGGATTCAGGGGACAACTCTTGATCTCAGGGTTGTGAGTCCAAGCCCTGCATTAGGCTCCACGCTACGCATGAAGTTTACTTAAAAAACAAACAAATGCAGAGCATACTGAAATCCAAACAAATGGTATTCTAAGAAAGGGGGCGCCTGGGTGGCTTAGTCGGTTAAGCGTCCGACTTTCGCTTAGGTCATGATCTCACGGTTCATGGGTTTGAGCCCCGCGTCGGGCTCTGTGCTGACTGCCAGCTCAGAGCCTGGAGCCTGTTTCGGTCTGTGACTCCCTCTCTCTCTGACCCTCCCCTGCTCACGCTGTCTCTCTCTCTCTCTCTCTCCTAGAAATAAATAAAAAAAAATTAAAAAAAAAAAAAAAAAAAAAACACCAGAAAGGTGTCCAAGGCAAATGTCTCTTCTATCATCTTGTATCATCTACTTCTTTCCTCCATGTGAAACTGTATGTTTATCTGTAGACATGAATCAACTACATTTGTTTTCTTCAGTAAGGCAAAAGTGGCTGGTCCCTTGAAGTTACGTAGTTAAGTGTTATCTGTTCACATAACTTTGACCAGGTTGGCTGAAAGGGACTTACAGGTCACAGGTCAGCCCAAGCATCCAGAGCAGAGTTGTGTTTTAGGAATGAGTTCAGAAAGACATGAGGTTTTACTTCAGACTAGAATGGCTGATCTGAAACCGGAGGAAAAACCAGCCACTAGAAAAGGATAAACATCTCATTCCTCTGTGATCCGAATATTTACCAATTAACCTTTACTTGCTTCTTATTCTGTGTCTCCCTCTCTCTCTGCCCCTCCCCCACCTGTGCTATCTCTCTCTCTCTCTCTCTCTCTCTCTCTCTCTCAAAAATAAACAAACTTTGGGGTGCCTGGGTGGCTCAGCTGGTTAAGCTTCCGACTTTTACTCAGGTCATGATCGCATGGTTTGTGAGTTCAAGCCTCATATCAGGCTCTGTGCTGACAGCTCAGAGCCTGAAGCCTGCTTCAGATTCTGTGTCTCCCTCTCTCTCTACCCCTCCTTCACTCACGTTTTGTCTCTCTCTCCTTCAAATATAAGTAAACATTAAAATAATAATAAATAAATAAGTAAATAAACATTAAACAAAAGCTGAGAATTGGTTGAGAAAATGTATCACACTAATGACAAATAAGGAAGAGTGTTTTATAGATGTTTTTTTCTTTTCCTTACCTTATGTTATGATACTGTGTTATTTCCCTTTGCTTTGCCATTGGTGCTCCTCTAACTATTTGCTGCAAAGGACCGATTTTTATTTGCTTGCCTGTCCTGCAACCAATACTTCCAGTCTATATATCCAGCACAAGAGACGAGTCCACAATGACACACATGAATGTCCCAGCAATGTCAAATTGCTATAAACATTGCTTGCTCTTAATTTCTGTATTTCTCACATATGCACTAACAATAAAGGTTTTTTCCTCTAGCACTGGCCCACAGGCCACATTTTCAATAGCACTGCTCTACAGGAAAACAGAATTTGAGCTTAATAATCACATAACCTGGTGTTTCTCCCTAGGGCCACTGCATGTGTTTGTATACTATTTAAGATCTCATCTCTCCTTACCTCCTGCACATACATTTTGACAACCCATAACACTTCCAAATATCCCCAAGTGAAGATGTTCCACCTTTACTGTGCACATTCACTGATTCTTTACTGTGTAGATGAGGTAACCTAGGCCCAGGATCACAGTTAACTGAAGAAATGACCAGCACCCAGACCCTCGTTTCCCCAGTACAATGCACCAATACACCCATGCTAAGTTTAGTGCTGTATTTAATACCAGCTGTGAATTCATTTCAGTACACTAGCTAACATACCTGTTCCATTCTCTGCTAAAGGAAATTATTTTATAGACTAAAGCAAAAATTAGATCTTTTATCAAGAACGTGTACTGAGAGGGGCACCTGGGTGGCTCAGACAATTATAAGTATCTGACTTTGGCTCAGATCATGATCTTGTGGTTCATGGGTTCGAGCCTCATGTCAGGCTCTGGGCTTAAGCTTAGAGACTGCTTGGGATTTTCTCTCTCTTTCAGCCCCTCCCCTAATCGTGCTCGCTCTCTCTCTCTCTCAAAAATGAATAAACATTAAAAATAAAATAAAAATTTAAGGAAAAAACATACTGAGAGCCAAAAAATAATACCTAAAAAGTTAAGAGAAAAAAAAAGAGGGGTGCCTGGGTGTCTCAGTCGGTTAAGTGTCCGACTTCGGCTCAGGTCATGATCTTACAGTTCATGAATTCGAGCCCCATGTCGGGCTCTGTGCTGACAGCCAGCTCAGAGTCTAGAGCCTGTTTCGGATTCTGTGTCTCCCTCTCTCTCTGACCCTCCCCTGCTCATGCTGCCTCTCTCTCTCTCTCTCAGAAATAAGTAAAACATAAAAAAAAAAAGAAAGAAATAGCAATATAAGCCCGTTATTTAGAAAAATGGCAGTCACTAACAAAAGAAACAGCCAAAAGCTGAAAATGGTTGAGGGGTAGAAATTGAGAAACAGAGAAACTTGTTTATTTACAACCAATCCGTACAACTACCTCACTCTTTTGCACATGTGAGAATTCTGATAAAAATTAAAACTAAGAGAGGGAAAGTATACAAAGGTATCTTATAAACCCCGCCAAGCTTAAAATGTGAATGTCACAATTACTCTGTAAACTGTTATTTGCCTGCTTACCTTTCACCTGTCTCATTTTCGGGAAGAAGAGCCACAGCATTTTGAGGACTCCAGTTTCCCAAAGCATCACAGCTTCCACATATGGCAAAAACTTCTCCTAAAGAAACAGAACAATCAGTTACAATGGGACAAGTACGGAAGTTTCAAATTTTAGTTTAAAGAAGCAAGAAAGGTGCAGTCAGTCCCACTAGTTCACCTGGACGCAGAGTCCCCTTTAGCAGAGACGGAGGAGCCTCACTGGAGACACGCCCCGGACCCAGGCACCGCACCAACGCCTGTGTGCCTAATTTCACCTACCTCTACAGAACCAGAGCCAGAGAAAAGGAGGGGTATGTAGGGAGGAGTTATTCTTCATTTGTTCAACCACTTAACTGAGCCAGTAACAAGCACCAAGAAGACTAAGTGATCACGCCACAGTTCCTACCTCTAAGGCAGCTTCCAATTTAAAAAGGCAAACACTAAATGCACGTAAGTATTCTAGAGAAATGGTAACCAGTATTTTCCAGGAACTCAAACAGTGGCTATTAACAAGCTAAACATCAAAAAAGTTATTGATGGGAAAGGAGCAATGTAACAACAACAATAGCAAAAAATGCTCAAAACAAAGACTCACAGAGTAAAAAATCCAACTTTCCTTATTAAAATAATGACTACTGCTTTACTTAAACACTTCTCCTCAAGAGACAAACCAAAATACAACTATTGCCTATATCTGCTGAATGTTGTATATTCAGTAAAAGTCTACAATTTCTTGGATATAAGTATGAAGACGTCTTTGACTTATGTATCAATATATTCTCAATTACTATATTAAAATTCAAAAGAAAAAACTGAGCCCAAGTGAACAAAGTTCCAGACAAACTCCTCCACATGCTGAGTAGTTTTTAGGCACTACTCTAGTAAAACGAGAACTATAGTTCTACTGCATGAACACTCTGTAAGCTTGGATTGTCTAAAACTTAACTAAAATCTCAAGTGCGATAGTCATTCAGTAGTTTTCAGGGTTCTAAATACATGTCTGTCAAGCACAGAGTGGTTATGTATAGAGATTTCACATCAAAATACTCACCAATCCTTTAGAGTAACCAGACTGTTTTGCAATTAACTTAGGTTAGCACTACCTTCCCTGAGTAAAAAAAGATAAATACTGTTGCTAAATACAAATATTCATTCCCAAAGTCATATATGTTGCTATGCACATATTCCTCTCTTTTGCACCTACAGATTCTCCTACATTCACATCTGCCACTATCTTCCCTCTAGTCATTAAGAATGAGACCCCCATCAAGCTGACCCTTCTGTGGCTAATTCTGCAGTTGGTCCATTTGCCTGGCATGGCCAAGCTCCTCCTCCTAGCTTAAACTGCTTGTGAACAATTCTCTAAGAGAGTACAATATAGTTCTACAGTCTTCTGTCCACAGAGAAGGCTATACACTGGACTAGAGGTGAGCTCTTGACTCAAGGGAGCCAAGCTATCAGCTGACTAGCAATCTTCAATCTGCAGAATCCTGCCCAGAGATGGAGCTTTACCAAATCTTCTTGGCTAAGAATTTGAAGTTGGACAAACTCACACTCTGTCAACTGCTCTGATGGCTGCTACCAAAGATGCTGGATAAACACAAGTGAACCATTCATTCATTCTTTGAACACATTTACACCTGCTCTGAGGCAGGTACTGTGTTAAGTGCAGCCATTCAGCATGAACACAAAGTCACAGTTTCACAGTGGTTACAATTTATCTATAAATAAAATCGACTCAAATAAAATCTGAAAGGTACTATAAAAAGTCCTGAAACTCTGAATTTCACAGGGATCCTAAACTAGCTAAATGCAGGGTTAAAGTAAGGAGAGTTAAAGGGGAGAAGGGAGGCCAATGATCTAGACAGAGGTAACAATTTGAAAAAGCCCCCAAAGAGGGAAGGAATGTAACAGATTTGAGGAACTGCTCAGTATAGTCAGAGTATATGAAATATGGGGATATATACCCCAGGCATGATACTGTTTTGATTGGCTAGCTTAGACTAAAATTATTTCAAACTGCTTTAGCAGACAGCAAGAAATACAATTAGCCAATAAAATAAAATAAAATCACAAATAGGGAACAAAGGTACCTTAGCCACCTAATCTCATTTTACCAACTTCTTGCACTAGCAAAATTTCCCTCATTTTCATAGTACTTAAAAATCAGAGCCCAACTATCTGTGCAAAATTAAATAAATTCACAGCTTTCTTGGATAACATGAGACTAAGATATTTACTATTTGGGGAAATTTTTTTTTCATGAGTTTACCATACTCTAAGCACATTTCTGACATCAGGCAAGCCCTAAAGATATCTTCATCTAAAAATTAGGCCCATTGTAACAACAAACTCCATATTTAAGACATTCCAGATTTTTTAAAATGCTCATTTAAAATTTTGTTTTAAAAAAAAAAACTTTACAATACCTGGTAAAAGAGTTCCTCTTATTTCAAAGGTAACCTGAGGAGGTGTCATTCTGAATGGATTTATTTTAAAATGTTGTGCTAGAAAGAAGAAGAGAAGATGTCATTTACAATATATAAAAATCTTAACTCTAGAAAGCTACCACCAAGAAACAAATTTAAAAACCTCAAATCTCAACTGTGAGCAAAAGATTTCAGAAAATTTATATATAAAGACTGGATTATTTAAGAAGTACCTAGCAATTTTTAGGGCCTAATGTTAAAACCTATTCTGTGTGTACAGGCCAGAAAGACTGCAAAACGAGTGTGTCCAGACTTTTTTTAAGGATTCAAGATTCTCTGGTTACAAACTTCCTTTCCTGATAAGCAGCTATTCTGAACTCAACCCATCTTTCCCGACCAGGCTCCTGTTATGAAGAAAAAAAAGCAAAACAAAAACAACAACAGCAACTTTAGATAGAAAAAAAACTTGGCTCAAGAGAGGATTTCTACTTCAATAAAGTTTCAACTTTAATAATAACAAGGAAACAACTGAAGAACTTAAGTACCATTCACTGAAACAAACTATAACTGTTCAGCAACAAGAGGGAGATTCTGCTTCTAAGTAACATCGCTAACAATTTAAAAAGAAACACCATGCCTGGGGGGTTCAGTACGTTGAGTGTCTGAGTTGAGTCTGACTTCGGCTCAGGTCATGATCTTGCCGTTCATGAGGCTGTGCTGACAGCTCAGAGCCTGGAGCCTACTTCAGAATCTGTGTTCCCTCTCTCTCTCTCTGCCCTTCTCCGGCTCATGCTCTATTCCTCTTTCTCTCAAAAATAAAAAGACATTAAGAATTAAAAAAACAGAACACAAAACTCTCCCCCATAAATCATTCTCTTCAGATTTTCTATGTATTAATCATAGGACTGTCATTACTCTAGTTCTGTAGACTGGAATTAGAGTCTCGACTCTGCAATCTATTACCAAACCCTGTTGATTCTAATTGATCTTACATCCATGCCTATCTGTCTACAGTCTGAACTTCATTAAAAATCCTAAGTATCCTAACCTGTGTTTTGGCTTCTAAATGTCTTCCCAAGGATATATTTTATGTCAGTTAGAATATTCTTCCTCATGTCCCTGGCTTGAAATTACTGTGATTACTTATAAAAATCTAAACCTGTAAGCCTTTGATGTCCTATCCACATTTTCTCTTTCGCTGATTTTTCATTACTTCATTGTTTTTTCCAGCCAAACCAATCTGTTTACATCCCTTAATTTAAGTACCTGAGGGAAGATAAACAGATTTTTAAAAATATATACAATATTAATCTTAAAGTAGGTTATGTAATTTAAATAGAGAAAGAACCCATACTCTACAGAAAGGAAGATCATATTCTACATAACTTCTCCAACTCCCTCCAAATTTCACCTGATGTTCCTACAAGAATTCCAATGCCTCTACTCCAAATCATTTCATTAATATACCAGCATGTTATCTGCATTTATACATTACTTTATTTTAAAAAAATCAGTTTTTAATCATAAATCATAATTATCACAGCTATTCATTCATATGTTTTCCCCTTTCCATCCCCATGAATACACGCACAACTCTGCGATGGGCACTTAATGAACACTGCTACTCCAGTAACTACACTTCAAAGTCAAGGTGGATCTACAGCAGCAGTTCTGGCTGGGGGAATACTGCTGCATCTAGCGGGTAGAGACCAACAGTGTTGCTAAACACCATGCAATGCACAGACCAGCTCTCCACAAATCATTATCCAGCTCCAAATATTAATATAGCTGAGGCTGATGAACCTGATCCAATGGGGACTGCTATGAAGGTCAAGAACCCAGGCTCAATGTTAGCTACGTATTATTTATCATCCCACTTTCATCCATTATAAGATGCAAATGTTGAATATATTAAGCAAGACCATCAGGAAATGTGGTTTCATACCACCTAAATACAGAATTCCCTATTTGACAACTCTACTATTTCAATTAGAAAATCCAAGACTGTGCACTGGAGAAAAACCTGTCCGTGATCAAAATAATTTCTAAGATGCCTTAATTCACTTTCTGTGTCTAAGAATAAACGACATCTATTTAAAGCGTATAGATCCAGTTCTAGCAAAGAATGTTCTAAATCTAAAAATAGCTATACATTGTTACCCCTCATCAACCAATCATAATCCAAATATCTTATTAGCTCTCCTTTAACATGACATATGAATCTGAGTATAACTCTAAGAGTAAGAATAGTCCTTTCCTAATAATTAAAGAGGACTGAAACACTGCAATCTTACATTTAATTATTAATGTCATATAAAGAAACCTCAAGGCTAGCAAAAGAGCTTGGCTTTATGTAACTGAATTAATCTTGAGACACAGCAAAAAGCCCCATCATCCAGCAAAACTGCTGAATAACCAACCTCAATCTCTACCCAGAACTTCTACTTTCCCCCAGTGTTTATGGTCACAGTTTTCAACTAAGACTACAAAATCTTGTATACATCATGTCATAGGTGGTACTTAACTATTTTTGATCAATTTTAAGTATCTATTTTAGCCAATTTTAGGGAAATCAAATATAATTATTACTATATATTAAAATCAACTAGTACCAAATTACCTCTAAGTTTCTACTGCATTAAACGAGAAACTTACACAATAAATTTAATGGAAGAATTCAACTAATTATTAAAACGGACTTTCATTCTTAAGGCTGCTTCTAAGAGTGGCCATAGTAACTTGGCTGTAAACAGCTGCAGTAAATGTACTATATACAAAACTATATACACAACCACAAAAATACCGCCCCAGAAAAACCTCCCTGGACATCAACAAAAGCATCATTTTCCGCTTGGATTGCCCAAAGTCCTAAGTCTGGTTTAATTTCCACCCTTCCTCCTCCCACAACTTAATGCCATACCAAATGAAAGCCTGGGGAGCTGCTCCTACACCAGTTTACTTGATCGCGGACAGAGGCCAAAATTCTGGTGCAGGACTGGCGCACAAAACTTGAGCACCGAGTTATCACCAAAACAGTGACAAAGTAAAATACTGTCCTGTCACGAAACGCAAAATTTACACACCCACCAACACTTCCTCTTCTTCCAAACAAGCCAAAAACAACACAACAACAACAAAAAACAACCAAACCAAAACCATCCCAACTTGGAGGGGGGAGGTCTTCCAGATATACACAAAACAAGATGAACAATGCTAGTCCTTTTATGTACATGAGCTGACTGTAAATGTTATTTAACCAACTCAATTTGTTTTATATATAACCTCCATTCTGTGCTTTTTGAAGGTAAACACAAACAGTATTCTCCTGAGATTTTGAGTAGCATTTAACACTATTTTAACTTTTTTAAAGACTCAAGCAATTAGTAAAGTCTGACATTGCAATTTACATTCAAGAAATATTTCAGAGTTTACTACCTGGCAAAACAAATTCTACTCTATTCTTTTTGTCAAATAAAATTACCCCAACACATGACCTTAATGGTTTACCAGCTTGGGGAACAAAAGGGATTTTTAAGCAAACCAAAGGTACAGGGACATTTAGTTTAGAGCTACACTGAGGTCAGAGATATTTTTAGCTAAAGTGTGTTTTTCTGGTCAAAAAGAACATCTCTGTCTTCCTTCAAATTTAAAACAATAAATAAATAAAAGCATTTCCAAGTCTTGCTCTTTCCTAGACTCCAGCAGCTTTGGTCCTCATAACTGGCTATAAGGAATACACGAAACGCCAAGGTTTTTCAGAGTCAATTTCTGTTCATCGTGTTGTAGGATCATTACAACCCCACAATTCTGACCCCAGTACAGGTGAGCCAGTATTCTGATCAAACATATACAGACATGAATGGATTTTTATAAAAGAAAGCATTTCTGGAGATTTCACTAACATTAACTCCTTTGTTCAACTCTGTAAACAATGCAGTAAAACTTTCCCAAACGTTTTCGACTTCACTTGGTCTTGCTATTATTTCACGTACAACTCACATACTTTTCCTGGTGAAGTTACATGCAAAGATTTGATTCACCAACCTACTTTTTCTACGTATCAAATTTGGTCCACTCTGCCACTGTGAGATTTCTTCTGTGGTCATTATTCTTCTGAACACAGCTCTCCTAAATCTTACTTTGTCTAGAATTCTGGGTCTCCTAGGGTCTTAAGTCCAGAACAGATGAGGCCAGGTGTAGTTTGGTCTATTGGCTTCACCCTGAGTTATTCGTATCCGGTACATCAGGAGTTGACAGAAGGACTGAGAACTTGTATCTACTTCTCAGCTAAGTCACAACTGTCAAATGTAGCAACATGGAGGGACATGAAGGGGCAGAGGAGCGGGGAGCTGCTGGGGACAAACAGGGAGAGCCACAGGGCAGTATGAAGAAAACATCCTCAGGTCCAAACATCCTGCTCGATTGGACCTTTTTCTACACTGGCGCCGCATCAGACTACCCAGCTGCCTCAAAATGAAAGAATTCTCTACAATTCAGGACGGAATCCGTGCATGATTCACTTTATAACCGGGCAGTGGGTTTCCCGCACAAGTCATCAAGGCGATCTGAAGGGCTCTGGGAAAGTACAGCTTTGGCGAGAAGGTGCAGCTCTCCCAAAATCGTATGGACAGCAAAGATGTCTATTCTTGGAACCTCTTCCCAGGACAGGAAGGCACTTTGGGCTTTTTCTGGAATATAACTGAATTATACAAGCATACCTTCGACTATGCGGTTGGGCAATTTCAGAAAATAAGCAGTTGCCCAAACACTATGAATTACTTCTAGACGGATCGAGTGGTGGTGGGCGAGGGGCAGGCTGAGGGTTAGGGGCACACAAACGACTTCAGCGCCAATTTTTGTTTCTTCGTTCCTTAAGTCCGTGTCCTCGTGGTGGTCTTAGGCTCCGTGCATTCTGGTACATGGAAAAGACTGTACTTCACACATTTTTCAGAGGGGAACTAATAAGCACCAGGCGGCCCAGCGGAATCGCGGCAGCAAACAATAAAAGTCGGATAAACAGAGACTGCCCACCGACGTGGGGGCGCGAAGGTCCAGGCCGCTGTTTCTCCCCCGGGAGGTGGGGGCGGGGGCAGTGCCCGCCGGGGCCGGGGCACCCTGCCCACCCCTCGCCCCGCCACGTCCCCGGCCGGGCCGCCCTGACAGCTCGACCGCCACGTGAGCTGCCGCCGCGGCCCCCGTACCGAGCGCCGGGCCAGGCCTGGCGGCCCGCCTCACCTGCCAGGTCCGCGGGTCCGCGCCGTCGCCGCCGCTACCGCTGCACCCAGAGAGCGAGGGCCGCGGGCCGGAGAGGCCCGGCACCCGCCGTCAGCGCCTCGCCAGCGCTCCCCCAGGCAGCCCGCGGCGGCGCCGAGCGGCAGGAAGCGGCTCCGCTCAAACCGGTTTCAGCTGCTCCAGACCAAACCGCCAGGCCATCCCGCGGGGCGGGGCCGGAGGGGCGGAGGGGCGGGGCGGGGAGTGACGTCACGCCGGCGCCGTCCTGGCCAATCGGCGGCGGCGCGCGGGGGGCGGGCTTGCGCGTTCCTGGAAAGGGAACCGGCGGCCGGGGGCGGCTGGGCATCCCCGGAGTCCCCGCCGTGAACATTTTCCGAAGACCTCGCGCCGCGGCGGGACGCCGCGCCTACACCCGGGTTCGGGACCTAGACGCGTTCCTTGGCTGATTCGCGAAGCCGCTTGAGGACGACCAAATGTAGAAGCCGGAACTGCAGTTCTGAATGCATTTTTTTGCCATTCAAAAGTGATGGAAATTAGCAAGCCTAATGTTTTCTGGAAACTTTCTTTCGTTACAAGACAGCAAGCACATTTGGGCCAAACCTTTAAAGTTGAAAACGATAATTCGGTGACCTAAGATGTTTGAGCGTTTCTATTACAAAGCAGAGTCACCTGGCAGCTCTCAAATTCGCATTCTCAGGACCTTTTCAACCCTGCCTAATCTAATTTACGTTTAATGAGATCCCCAGGTTATTTGTATGCAAATTAAAGTTTAAACGAACTTTTCCTAAAGCAAGAACGACCCTCTCTGCAAAGGTTGTACTTTTTTATTTTCTGAAAAATCGACGCTACAAGGGAAAAGAAAAAAAAAAAGGTCAAGTTTTTTTCTCTCCTTTGATGGTCCCAGAAATATTAATCAACATTTGCCACTTAACAAACTTAAATTGTTACCTGTCCAAGCATCATAATTAACCTCTGGCTAACCTCTGATACAACATTATGTCAGCAGATTTCTTTTAAATCAAGTGAGATGCTGACAATTAAAGAACTACCTTTTTAGTGAATGTTGAAGGACTCTTGCAGTAAGACATAGCTCCGAGTTGCAAGTTGGTTGGAAAGAAAGGTAAGTTGGAAAACGCTAGCTTTAGAAAGTTTCTAGTTTTATAAATCATATTGCTAACGACCACATTTGATATTCGAGTTTGGATGAGATCCCAGGGCTTTAATGACAATGTCACCCATTCAGTTAATAAATACTTATTCAGTGCCTGCTTTGTGTTAGGCACAGGATGCAATGGTTTTTTGATAGCACTCATTTTAATCCCAAATTCCTTAAAGACTTAAAATTTCCTCCCAGTTATCTACCATTATCTGCTAAAGTCTGCTATTGTACATTTCTTAATAGCTTGGAGTTTATTTCATTTCTATTTTAGTCATACTTCGGTGATGGATTTCTTCACTCCAAGTTTGCTTCCTTTAAATGTCTGTAATAGATCTTTGTTTTCTTATAATCACTACTTAGTCAAGTTATTATTGGCTGATGTTCATGGTTCAAGTTGATGGACCCAGTCCATGTTCCTTCCCTAAATCCTATTGAAATTATAGAAGAATATATATATTTGAAAAATGCCCTCAGTGGGCTGAAAGTTGAGGAATTTCTACAAGATCTAAAACAAGCCAATAGCATTATATGATTGGAAGAATGAAGACAGAAAAACCTGGACACACACAGGAAGAAGATACTCCTGGAGATGCCATATTACAAAACATTGCTTAAAAACTCTTTAGTAGTGCAACGTATTTTAGATTACATCATATAAATCTCCATTCTGATTGAGATATTCAAGTAGAATATAAATAATACATTCCTTCCTCCTGCCACTTCTGTGGAATGTTATTATTTTTTAAAAACATAGTTAATGAGATTGATTTACCCATTATATCCAGAAGAGCTCCATATATATTGAATATTACAAAATATTAACATTTTATTTGATTACATAATGAAATATGGTACCTCATTCATCGAAAATCAACACTGCATGATCTCACTTTATACCTTAATTTTTTTTAAGGTAGTGATGCCACCAGCTAGACTCCAACACCTGACCTTCACTGCCCACTTGCTTGTACTCACAAACCATAGTCTTGCATTTTTCCTTAAACTCTTCTTTCAAGCTTACCTCTTATCTCAGGCCAATGAAACTCAAAACCACCCCTCAGGTGATACCGACTGCCTTGACAAGACTGCCCACCTGCCCAGACCACCTACACCCTTTGAGCTAAATAAACCCCAACTCAAGCCTGCACAGATGGGCCATGGAGTGACCTCTGGAATGATCTACCATTACCTTTAACTCATTAAAGGTAAGTCTCCTCCCAAGGAGGAGCCTCAGCCTCATTTACATAACATACAATATATATATAGGATGTTTCCTTAAGGCGCATGTTCCACCTTATGCGCCCCTCTACATATGATGACAAGGCTTCCCTATGGAAATATTCATTATAACGCTACACAAAAGGTACCCATTTACCCTCTCTTGGAGAGTCATGGCTTTGCAAGCTATTCCACGTGATCTCCTTATTTGCTGCAAATAAAGTTTTTTTCCATTGTGTGTCAATGCAGCCGGTGTAATTTCTGTAACTCATCAAGGAGCCAATTCATGTTGGCTCGGTTAAGGTAATGATAGTGATGGAAAAGCTCTAGACTCATGGGCCAGACTTCAACTTGAAACCTACCCCTCACCATCTCTGACATTTTAGGTATAAATCATTGAATATAAATAACCGTTTTTACATAAGTGATTGGGGACATCTTCAATTCGATATCACAGTAACTTTAGTTACTATGTACAATAGCAGACTTTATAAATAAGTCATTTGTGGACCCCATTTTGGGTCATTTACCAAATCCATATAAATATTAGCTCAAATTTTCATAGTTAGAGGAGTAGAATACCATTTGTAAATGTACATTGGTAAAACTGGATCTCATCAAACAATCTCTAAAGAAAACTTACCACATGTAATGTAATTTAACATAATTACAATTCTGGAAGGCATCTATCCTATGGACTCTAGGAGACAAGACCTCATTAACTCTAAAAAGCATAAGTTATTTCAGAAAATGCTGAACTGAGCCATTTTGTTTATAGCTTCTCCCACTTATTATTATTTTTTGCCTTTCTAAATGCCTCTCGCTCTTGTGCATTCTGCATCAAAATGGATTCCCTGAGGGAATTCCCTTTACTGCTCAAATTGCTCAACAGTTGACTGGCTATCATTTTATCATTTTAGTGAAAATATTGATGACTGTCCACAGAATGGGCTGTTGTTTTCAGGGCATATCCTTAGTGTGAACAAAAGGACTCTAACAGCACCGCTACTGCACAGCAGCTTCAAAATCCCAGCTGCTCAGTCCAGGCTGGCAGCACGCCAAAGAGCCAGGATTGAAGTCAGAGAGGCAGAGGTTCTTGGCAATAGAGGTGCATTTATTATGTGGATGATTTAGATGGAGGAGATTAGAGGCAATGATTCTGCTCTTTGTCTTACTCTTGACTTGTTGGCTTACACCATACCATTGTTATTTTTCCTATAAAACAAAAACAAGAGTGAGAACTACCTCTTGATTGCTTTTATCTGTTATAGCGCTATGTTGCCTTCCTATAATCAGGCTCTCAAGGGGCAGGACTATGTGTTATTGACCTTCGTATCCCAGCACAGTGCTTGGCACACAGCCGGTGTAAACATGCTTCTAGAAGTCACTGAAAATTTCAGGAAAAAGTATTACGGTCAGGATTTAATGATGAGCAATGTTGTGTGTACCCACCGGCGAAGCAGGGATGCAGTTCCTATGGGTTCCATTGCATGGCCTCTCCTTGCACTCACATCACTCACTCACTTGTCTTACAGGATTACTGCTCTGGTTATCAACACTGACATTTAGTTCGATGATTCACAGCCATGGACATATGGCTCACACCGTGTTTGTTATTATTATTTTTTTTTTTTTTTTAAATTTTGAATTCATACCCCAGCGCAATACAGACTTCACCACTCCCTATTGCTCATCCATTGTCCTGATCTTACACTTCTCCTGTCCTTCCTGGCCCAGATCGGCCAAGGCGTATAGATAGGGTAAGAATCATCCAAACCACTTGGGATTCATCAACTTTGCCGTGCAATCAATATGACTGTACATAAAAATGCTAAGCTCTCAAAGATTAAAGTGATCAAAATCTTTTCCTAAAGGAAAGGAAGAGAACTCCAAAGACCTATGAAAGTGATGGTGGTTAGAATTTTGAAGCCATCTTTTTTCTCCAGATTTAACAAACTGCTAGGCATTTTTTGTTGTTTAATCTGAATAAGCAGCATTCCATTATTTAATACAAACATCATATCTATGATTCATGGTTAGAGGACTAAATTATA